GATTGATGAGCAAGTTAAATTGTAATAATTCAAATGGATTTGTTTGGTACGGTAAAGCCGTGTTTTGACAAAAACAAAAAAACAAAAAAAAAAACAAAAACAAAAACAAAAAATTTTAAAAAAAAATATTTTTTTAAAAAAATCAGTGTTTTTCATGTCAAAATGCTAAAATATTTTGATGCCAAAATGCTATGAGTTATTTTTACTTTCGGTCTCACGAGTATGAGACTATTTTCACGTTTGGTCCATGACTATTAAAATTTTTAAATTTGATCCCATGACTTTTAAATTATTGTCGTATTTGGATCTTGACTAAAATTTTTAGATTGAGGAAATTTCAATTTTGGTCATATGACTATAGGGGTCTTGTTAATTTCAGTCCCTGACTTTCAAAAGTGTCAATTTAGTACCTTAACTATACAATTTTTGTCAATTTTAGTCACTCCGGCCAAATTGCCGATCAAATTTCGCCGAAAAATTTTAATAGTTAAAATAATGAGGGTATTTTGGTCGTTTCACGCCTCTTTTCTTCTTCTCCGGTGGTCCATCTCTTTCTCTCCCGTTTCTGGCGTTCTTTCTCCCTCTAAACCCTATCTTTAATATCATCAAGCCTCCTTACCCCATCATCTTAGTTCATTGCATTCACTGGAAACAGGAGAGGAATGGATGGACTCGCCTGGGAAGAAGAAAAGAGACGTGAAATGATCAAAATACCCTCATTATTTTAACAATTAAAATTTTCCGGTGAAATTTAGTCGGTAATTTGGCCGGAGTGACCAAAATGGACAATAATTGCATAGTTAATGTACTAAATTGACACTTTTAAAAGTCAATGACTGAAATTAACAAGACTCCTATAGTCATATGACCAAAATTGAAATTTCATCTTTTTAGATTTTGTCCAACTACTTTTAAATCCTTATCACATTTGGTCCCCAACTATTAAAATTTTTAAATTTGGTCCCATAATTTTAAATCTTTGCCACATTTAGTCCTTGACTATTAAAATTTTCAGATTTGATCAGGTGATTCTCTAATCCAAAATTAACAACTAATCTCCCTTCTAATTAAATAAATTGTATTTTTTTTACAAAATATTTAGTGTTTCTAAATTTAAATTTGTAATATACTTTTAATTTATTTAACTTAGATTTTAACATTATTAAAGTTTGTATATAATATTTGTATTCTGTAATCATAATATCATTAATTCAACACCATATTAACTTATAAAGTTGATAAAATATATAGTTTATAACTTTATTTAGTCTCATTGGAGAAAAACGAAGAAAGTGGTGATTTGGGAGGAAAAATATAAGTTCATGAAAAAAGTATTAGGAAAAAAAATAATTTTACCGTTAAGATAATTCACTTGCTTGAAATTTATAATCGATAACTAAAATTTAGGTTGAATCGCCAAATGTGGCAATGATTTAAAAGTCTTGGGACCAAATAAATCTGAAAATTATAATAGTCGGGGAGCATATGTGGCAAGGATTTAAAAGTCATGAGATCAAATATGAAAATTTTAATAGTCGGGAACCAATGTGGCAAGGATTTAAAAGTCGTAGGACTAACTCTGGAGATTAAATAGTCGGGGACCAAATATGGAAATGATTCCATACTCGTGAGACCAAAAGTGAAAATAACTCTGTATAAGTGTGTTGAGAATAAATTGTAATAGATTTTGATATGTCAAATTGTATTTTAGGTCCCCAATTTTAATTTTTAGTGGTATAAGTTTTTCGTGTCAAAGACCAAAAGGAAATTCCATGTAAAATTCGAGCAAGATGTATGCATATGAAAGTTCACAAGAATTAATTCGAAAGAAGAAGAAGAAGACGTAATTTGGAGAAGATGATGGCATTGCATGAAGACATCTTGAAGATCAAGTATTTGTGGAAGAAAAGGAGTACATCAAAAAGAATAAAATATTAACCAATAATCCGTATAGGTGAAGTGGTTTTAAAATAGGTAAAATTGATTAAAGGGCCGAGATATGAGATGAAGTTTCAAAATTAAATGAAGGAGGAATTCCGAAATTAATATGAGATGAAGTCTGATTGGGATAAAGTTTTGAATGAAGGAAAGAAATTCGAAAATAAATTGGCGTAAAAAGGAGGAGAAGAGATCACTACAAGAAAAATGCACATAGACAACACTAGAAAGACAACAGTTTTTAACAAAAGTGTTGTCTTTTGTATAAAAGACAACAGTTTGGTCCAAAATCGTTGTCTTTGATGCAACACTTTTGTCAAAGACAATGATTTTTACTTAACCGTTGTTATAAGTGTGTTGTCTTTGTGCAATTTGAGAAAAGACAACACTTCAACGACAACGGTTTTTAAAAACCGTTGTCTATGTGCGTTTTTTAAAAAGACAACGGTTTTATTTAATCGTTGTCTTTGATATGTTAAAGTGTACTTGAATAAACAACACTACAAAGACAACGGTTTTTTAAAAATCGTTGTCTTTGCGCATTATTATTTTTTAAAAGACAACGGTTGTATTTAACTGTTGTCATTTGTATGTTGTCTTTAATAACACTTGAATACACAATACTACAACGACAACGGTTTTATAAAATCGTTGTCGTTGCGCATTCTTTATTTTTTTAAGACAACGGTTTTATTTAATCGTTGTCTTTGGTATGTTGTCTGTCTTTGTTCATCATTTTTTGGGTCAGAGCTCTCAGCAGCTTGTGAATTCAACACTGCTCTTGTTGCTTTTCTTCTTTTCGTTTCTATAAGAACTTCTTTTAGTGTAGGTTCACACTCAATTTCTGTAAATAAGAATGTTATACATGCAGAACTATTAAGCTATACATTCATAATTATAAAGCTACACATCCAAAATTACATAACTATATGTACACAGATCTTTCAAAAGCACCAAAAGAGAAAGCATGAATGATATTTTCATATATTCATAAGTATTAAACTATAAATTCACATTTATAAAGTTACCCCATCCATAATTTCATAACTATATGTCCACAGATCATTCAAAAGCACCAAAAGATAAGGCATGCATGATATTTTCATATATTCAGAAGTATTAAACTATACATTTTCAATTATAAAGCTACACATCCACAATTTCATAACTATATGTTCACAGATATTTCAAATGCACCAAAAGAGAAGGCATGAATGATATTTTCATATATTCGGAAGTATTAAACTATACATTCACAATTATAAAGCTACACATCCACAATTTCATAACTATATGTCCACAGATCTTTCAAAAGCAAGAAAAAAACAGAGTACTGTTATGTATTTGTTTGGGAATAATCATACATTGTTTGAATCCACATTTACAATTTGTGAACTATATATCCACGACTTTTGTTCTTTATATTCAAAATCATTTAAATACGTGTTCATAATGTTCAGATTTATACTACTTGTTGATAATATTCATAAAATCAACGTTAAAAATCCAAAATCACATTGCAAAACCCTACTCAAAAAACACAAAAATGTATTCCGAATCTTCATGTTAATGGTCTATAAGTCTATAAAATGCATAATACCTGAAGAAGAAGTAGAGTTTTGTATAAAATGGCGAGAAAAGTGGGCAGCAAATCACGATCACGGTGAAGTCGGCGACAATGCGATGAAGAAGGCAACAACTTTGACTCCGAGTAGACCGAGAGATCGTCGATGAAAATTGCAACAATTGCGATGAAGCTCTGTTGGGTGTGTGAAGCTTGTTGTAGACGAAAGGTCGGAAATGGCGGAAAAAACTTCGATTGACGCTTTATACTAATAATAAATAAAATTAAAAAAAAAATTGATTGGTGGAGCTAAACGGTGCCACTAATGGTACCGTTACTCCTATATTGTTAAACGAAGTTGTTTTCAACTGTGTGCACCAAGAATGGTGCACACGATTGCACGGCATAATAATTGCCAATTAGGAGTATATGTGCCAAAATATGTCCAACAAAGCCCATGGAGCGTCACATGTAAAAAACCAATCGTTATACTCTACCCCACGGCGCGCGTAGCACTGTGCGCCGCGCGCCTTCCAAAACGACGTCGTTTTGGGAGGCGCGGTAGGAAGTTGCTGCGATTATGTATATTTGTTCACACAATTATGTATATTTGTTCATACAATTATGTATATTTGTTCATACAGTTATGTATATTTTTTATACAATTATGTACATTCTTTTTATATAATTGTACATCTGAATCAGAAAATTTGTGTGTATTATGTTAAGAGTTGATGTGTATTATGTTAAAAGTTTATGTTTATTATGTATTATGTTAGATTATGTGTATTATCTTTTAAAAAGAGTATGTATATTTTGTTATATAATTATGTACATTCATGTATACAATTATGTGTATTCTAGTATAACATTATGTACATTTTTGAACATGAGTTTTTTTTTTTTTTTAAAGAAAAATTAACTGCCATACACTGGGGCGGGAAATTAAAAAAAAAAAAAAAAAAAAAACGACGTCGTTTTGCATCTGGGCGCACAGTGCAACGCGCGCCGTGGTGTAGGATATAAATTGCCGTAAAAAACTGCCAATGTTTATATCATGGCTCATGGTCCATATTGCATTGTAAACTTTGATATGCATTTAATATATTATGTGTGTTCAATTAATAAATTATGTGTCTATAAATAAATTGAATGTATATAATATGTTAACTGCATATATATAACTTGCCGTTAATATATTATGAGTACATAATTAATATGTGTTTGCATTTAATATATCAAGTATGTAATAGAGGGACTAGTACTAAAAAAATGTGTCTTCAATTTAAGGGACCAATTTCACCATATTTCTCTAAGGGCTCCTCACATTCCGACAGAGCATTGTCGGAAGATATAAATCACGGTGACTTAAGGAATCTGTCCACTTTGAATATAATTCTCAAATACGATTGTCGAGATTCAAACTTTGGTCTCTTCTCCCAAATACTGTCCACTAAATCAATAAGTAAGCCCGCAAGTGGTTAGTGATGATGACGTGTAGTACTACTGTGATTTATCGAAAGTTGAAATCCGGGTTCACCAATTAGCCCGCCAAGTCGCCAACTCTAAAATTCCCGGCAGCCCCGCAGGCCGCAGGGATAATCGATGCATTTACCTCTGTGAAGCGCTTCAATCCACATTTGTTCCATGCCCCGAAGGTTGGTCGGTTTCGATCCGGCCTTTATAGCCGGATTCGACGACATCTACGAGGAAGATGAGCGTTTTCTCTATCACGACGAAGAAGACGATGATGATGAAGAAGAAGAAGAGGAAGAGGAGGAAGATTCTGAAGAAGAAACAGATGGAGGAGAGGAGGAAGAGCAGGATACTTCGAGGTTGATGCCGCGTAGGGTTTTACAAGGCGATGGAGGGGCTACGACGTCGTCACAAGAAGCGGTGGTTAATGTTCAAGGTTCCGAGAGTATAATGGAGACGATGGCTGAGGATGGAGGAGCTCAAGGTGCGAAACCGGTCGAGAAATTGGCAGTGATTAACAGTGAGGTGGTGGACGGCAGTGGCGGTGGGGGAGAGGAGTGGAGTAGGAGTGACATTGATGGCTTGTTTTGTCCAATTTGTATGGAGGCTTGGTCTAACGGTGGTAACCATCAAATCTGGTCCGTTCTATACTTTGTTTCTCCAACTTTATTTACTTATATTGCTTAAATTGTTTGTATGAAGTGAAAAAGATCTGGTTTTGTACAATGACTTATCAATGAAGACATTCAGCTTATCCTCTGTGAAAAAGTTGTGCATTTTCTTAACAACTTGTTTTACTATTGAAGTTCAATCTTGATGTCTCATGTCTAAGATGCCCTATCCTCTTAAATTTTACAATTTGATTTTTAATGTTGGTTTTATGGATTCATTTGCAGTTGTCTTCCTTGTGGGCACATATATGGTATATCTTGTATCAAGAAATGGTTACAACAGAGAAAAAGTTCCGGAAAGGTTGATTATTTCCTTTTTTTCTTGGTGGAGTCTGTAAATAAATCCTTCTTTCTTATGTTCATCAACTTCATCCCATCTTTTCCCTTTTTGTAGTGTCCTCAATGCAATAAAAAATGTACAATGAAGGATGTCCGACTGCTTTATGCATCTCAACTTCATGTTGTAGATGAAGAGCTACAAAAGGTGATATCTGATAGGATGAACTTTTTTAATAAGTTTATAACAATACCAGATGAGATTTATAATATACAATTGATCCAAACTCTTTTATTTATTTATTTTTATTTTTCAGAAAATTCAATCACTTGAAGCTCAATGTGCTTCACTGGAGAAGAAGGTGAGAAAAATTAAAGCTTAGAACTTATACTTATCAAAAAAAAAAAGAACTTATACTTATCATTTGGTGGAGATGGTCTAATTTGTTTCTAATGCGTATGGATTTATATTCTATAATAATAGCTTTGTGCTACAAACTGATGTAATCAACTCAACCTTATAAAATTTCTTACTGTGTATAGTTGTTTCTGGTAGCATAGGCTATGAATTCTGTGAGGATTTGAGGCTATCACTTATAAATCACTAAATATTTCGACTTGAATGAATTTGGGCTTTCCTTTCTAGAAGTTCTTTGTGTCATCTTTACTACTGATAACTTCAATATCTAATAGAGTAATCCATATTAAAACTCTACTCTGGTTTCGATGTCTGTCATGGCATCTGCTACAGTTCGCTGGCATAACAAACTCAACTTACACTTTTAGGTTTTCTACATGTTTTCTGGTTCTTGTTTACATTTTTATAATTGCCTTTCACTGCATCTTATTTGTGTGTCAGGTCAACTTGAGTTAAGCATATTGTTGCTTTTCAGTTAATAGTGCCATAAATATAAGCACTGTTATAATCCAGTCTTAAGTCTTCACGTTTTTCTGTATTTGGTTAGATCTTAAGTTACTGAATCTCTTTGCTACAGTGTTCAGATTTGTGCAAGAAAGAAGTTGAGTGGGAAAGGAAGGAAGCAAATTTACAATTGCAAGTGCGCGAGTTAAAGGAGGCATGTTTCTTGTCTAGTAAATTTACAATATTCCACTTTTTTACTGTTAGGAAGAGTACCTTTGTGTTGGCACAGGTTGTTCAAGGTGTGGTTTACCATCATTAGACGTGTTCTTGCTTGCTCCTTAGGCACCCTAAAATCTTCCTCACTTGGGTACAGTATTTTTAGGCATGCAGAACCTGATTTATATGTTTAGTGATTCTTCACATCGTTAAGCCTATTTTATCAACCTTTTTATACTTGTACTTTTCCATCTTTAAAAAAAAAAAATCTATGGAGTACATTGGTTTTCATGGAAGTCAATTATTTGGATCCTGAAAGAAAGGTATATTACAAATGTTATTTACATTTCTATTGCTAATGCAACACTGTGAAGTATGAACATATTTTGTAATGATTTATATTTTATAGTGCATCTTTATCAATTTGGTTAGAGAAAATTTGAATAGGATTAGCAGATTTCTTATTTGCAAATTTGACTTCGCAGAGGAGAACTAATTCCGATTATTTGCCTAGAGACAAGCAAAGCAGGCCATCAGAATTGTACACTTCTGGTAAAAGGATCTGTTGGGAATACTTTTTCTTTTAGTCATTTTATGACAAACATTTGACTAGATTTTAGCAGAGTTCTAATGCTTGTAGTGATGTGTAGGGCATAGTTGCAACTATGCTTGGCGCGGATATTTCAATGGGTTTTCCTTGAAGGTCTGCCATTCTTCCTCTTATATGATTTTTGGTACTTATGTCGTGCATGTGTCTTTGTTTTTGGAAGCTGGAATGCATTTATTCCTATTATGTTTGTTGACTTGTTCAGTTTCTCACATTATGGCTCCATCTTTTACAGGAAGAGATGAGGATCGAAGGTGCTCGCTTCTTTGACGTCGATGTTTCTGGTCAAATTCTCATAATTGCCAGAAGGCTTCCTGGAATGGGGGGAATTCATGTGCTTACAAAAGTAAATCATCACCTTTTGATTGTAAATGCAAACCTCTTCAGTTTTTTTTTTAATCCTAATAGATGTAAACAGGTTTCTTCAACATGATTTTGACAGATGAGTTTGTTATCTCATCATGAAAAGGAAGATATTCAGCTTCCTTTGAACATAAAAGCTATCAAAGACCTTCACATATCACCATACGACAGACTTGTGCTTGTGGCTTCTTTGGGGAAGAAGTTGTCGGTTCTTAGGTAGGTGATCCCCCCATTCCGCTTTAAATGTCTAGCTTAAAAGAATATATATGGGCTTACTTTTGCTTATTTGTTTTTTGTTTCAGTACAGAAAGCAACAATACAGTTCTGACGTATGATTTACCGGTACTATCTCTTGCCTTTTATTTGGTTGTAGAACAAGTTTGATTGTTTAAGTGTTATGGCTTATACAATTTGGTACTCCCTCCGTCCCATTTTGTGTCTGGTTTGGTTAACGAGGCTTGATTGAAGTTATTTTTAATTCAATTTTTCATAATGTTCAGTTTATTATTAATATATAAAATTTATATATTTAGAAACTACATTAAAAGTACTATTAAACAGAAAAAATAAAATTTAAAAATATTTTTAAAATACTAAAGAAAATAAGCAAAGAAGAAAAAGTCAGTTTGACCAATTAATAGTAAATAGGATAGGTAAAATGGGACAGAGGGAGTATTTGGTTATAGTTGCTAAGCTTCTTGTTCTAAGCTAGTGTACTACTCTGCAACATTCACTAGAGCAGTTGATAGTGGTCCTCAATCTCTAGTATGATATTCAGTACTATATCTTGATTCTGTTTTAGCATTTTCCCATCCTGTTCTTTCTTAAACACGAGTGCATATGTTCAATTTTGGTAAGCTTTTTGATGTGGATTTCTTTTCTGTTAAGAATTTAAGATTCAAGGACTCTGGTTACTGTTTGCAAGCTGTGGTATTACTTATACTGTTATCAGTAGTTTGCTAGCATAATGTATTTTATGAGGCAGCATTCTTAATACTTAGTATGGCTTTCCCAATTGTTAAGTATATTCTCCAATGACCTTTGTTGTGCAGGCTGCGGCTTGGTCTTGTTCATGGGATGTTAACAATTCCTATTATGTTTATGCTGGTTTACAGGTCCTAACTTATTTTCTCAGAGAAAGCTTTTAAAATTTTGTGATTTTTTGACTTACTGAAGGTGTAATTGTGTAAATTTTTGCAGAATGGTATGGTAATGGAGTTTGATAGGCGTCAAACTGTGAAACCGGTGGAATCCATGAATGGATTAGCAGCCAAGCCTATTCATACTGTGCACTCCGTTTTAAGTAATCCAGTAACGGGTTCTGGTTTGAGAAGAAGCATTCTAACTGCGTCTTCAGTAGGCTTGTGTCATTGGAACTTTGGTTGTAGTGAGGAAAGGTAACTTCTTTTTTTTTTTTTTTTTTTTTTTTTTTTAAATTAACTTAAATGTTTTCTTTCTTGCACTTGATTCCCTTTTTATGTTAGCTTTAATGTGCTTAGGATGTTATATTTGGTAGTGGTTGTATAGATAATTTTGGCATTTTGAATTGGTATATTCATTGCAAGCTGCTGAAGCTTGAAAACCTGAAACCAGAATTTATTTTAGGGAAAAGGGTCAAATAGGAACTTTACTGGAAATGTCAATCAGGTCCTTAAACTTTTAAAAGGAGCAATTAAACCAATCTTATTTTGGTGCATTGAAGTCCAAAAACCCGTTAGTGACCTGTAATAGCAGGTCACATAGGGTTTCGGCGACCATCCGACCAACTTCCAGGGAGCAGAAGGCAACCAAATATGGTCACCTTCTTGCGGAGTTGAAGAAGGTGATCCAGTTTTGGTCTCCTTCTTCAAAGGCGACTGTTCGATAGTCGCCGGTGTTTGTCTCTGGAATCTCGCCGGAGTTGATCGAAGGGTTGCCGGAACCCTAGTCACCTACTATTACAGGTTACTAACTGGTTTTTGGACTTCAATGCACCAAAAAAACACGTTGATGAGTTTAATTGCACATTTTGAAAGCTTAGGGGCCTAATTGACTTTTCGAGTAAAGTTTAGGAGCCTATTTGACCCTTTTCCCTTTATTTTATAGTTGGTTAGCAGAATATGTTTTTTCTACTATTCTTAAGATTTAAATATAAAGGTGCCATATATCCTGTACTAAGAATTGCAAGTTGCATAAAAACAATGATCTCTTTATTATGTCATTGTATTGATGACTTGTAATCTTTTACTGAAGGCCGCACCTTATTCCTGAATCAGAGGATCAAGGAGTTTGTATTTCTCTAGCTTATGCATCAAGAACCAATGACATTGTTGCCTCATTCCGCCCTAAAGTGGAAATGCCAGGCGACTTCGCTGCTACTCAAACAATGCTTTCTCCCTCTGCTTCTCCCATGGAACAGGCAGTACAAGGCTCTCATGTTGTCTACAGGGTAGCAGGTAGTGGTTATCACAAGGTGGGATCTTCTTGCGCAAATGTGAGTGGTATCCGGTTCCCCAAGTCTACGATCATAGAAAGAGATGGTACAAAGCCTATATTTGCTTACGGGGATGAAGCATCCAGTGAGCTGGTGTTGCAAGAGTTGCCATCTCTGAAGGATGTTATGCGGCTCCAAGCTCCTAGAAATCCCATCCGTGATGTGAAGTATACACATGCATTAAATTCCGGACTGCTGAGTTGTTTGCGCCAGGATACAATGCAGCTTTTTACCGTTAATGGTTCATGAAGAAAGGTAATTGCATGTCACTGTTTCTCTTGTGTTTTCTCATTCATGTTCCAATCATAGCCTTAAATCTCCAGGTAAGTTGTCCCACCCATTAAAGGTACTTACAATTCAGCGAGAGGATTAGTCGCTATGTCCGACAGTGCAAACCCTGGTACACCCCAAAAAAAAAAGAAGTTTCAGTCACACTTATGGCTTAGCATGATTGTTTAGTCATACATGATCACACTCTATCAAGGTTGAAAAAAATCGCTAGGCGCTTGGGGACCGCCTAGGGCGCCTAGTGCGATTAATCGGCGCCTAGAGCGCCTAGGCGGGTGCCTAGGGCACTTAGGTGGCCGACCGCCTAGCGCCTAGGCGCCGATTTTTGCAACACTGCTCTATCTACTACACTCTTTTATCTGTCTGACCATTTTTTGAATTTTGTTGCAGGCTGTCAACATTCTAAAATACAAATGAAGCTGGTTGTACATTCATCATCTTCACTGAATAGATTAGGATTTTGGGTACTCATCTCTTCTGCGCAAGCTATGAGGTGGTTGCTCTCTCACTCTCTCTCTCTCTGTTTTTTTTTTTTTTTTGGTAGCTTGCTTTTAACTCTCTCTCTCTCTCTCTGGTTTTTATTATTATTATTATTATTATTATTATTATTATTATTATTATTATTATTATTATTATTATTATTATTATTTAAAATTACCTGTATAATGGTTTACTTGAAGGTTGAGAGATTGTATTTCTTTGTAATTTGCCTTTGGAACTTATAGTACTCAGCTGCGTCTATTATGGGTTATTATTTCTCCTTTTATTTAATTTTTTACGGAGTAATTCTTTTTTGTAACATCTTTGTTTAGTACTTTATTCTTTTTACAGGTAACATATTACAAGTTTGAACATTGAAACTTTATAAAATGTATGACATTTCAAAATTGCTTTTAGAAAATGTTGTGTCTTTTAAAATTGGACAAAAGCGAGCTACTCCGTATTTATTTATTGGTGACGAGAGATTCACAGTTACTCCCCTATTTCATTTTATCTGTCATACTTATTATTTATTGGTCAAATTAATTCTTTCTTCTTTGTTATTTTTTTTAGTATTTTTTTACTCATTTTTAATTTTTTTTAATTTAATAGTATTTTTGTGTAGTTTCTTAATTATATAAATTTTGTATACTAATACTAAACTTAATATTATAAAAATTTAAATTAAAAATACTTTCAGTCAAGTCTTGTTAATCGAATTAGACACAAAATTGGACGGAGGGAGTATTATTTAATAGTGTGCAATTAATAACTTTTGCTTTTATGTGATAGTTTGTAAATTACACATAAATAGGGATGTGTATTCGGTTAATTGATTCGAATTAACTGAAGTTTTCAAAGTTTTAACTGTTAATTGAACCAAGCTTTTTATCACCGAAATAACCAAACTAAATTTCTGGTTAATTGATTAATTGAAAACTTGTTAACTAAAATTTTAAATTCTTAAAATTAACTGAATTAAAGTTTTTGGTTCAGTGGGTGGTTTGGATTTAGCTACCACATTAACCCGTTCAGTTAAAGTGGCAAGTTCTAATTGGTTAAGATATGAAATAAAAAAGAGGAAAAAGAAAAATAGAACCAATTAAAACTTGCTACATTAAGAAGTGGCAAGTTTGTGACTTGTGAGTGATTAATATAGGAACACTAGACATTTTTCTAAAACATTTAATGATTAACCGAATTAAACTATTTCGGTAAAAAACGGTTAATCGAAATTTTTTGGTTCAGTCAGTTAACCAAATTTATACTAAAGTATGTATACCTCTACGTATAAAAGATAAGTTATATTAGGAAGACTTTGTGCTCCACTTGGTCACCCATGTTGGGCACTTGGGCAACGCAAGCTATTTAGTTGGAATAGTTCCTTTGAAAATAATATGATTCTGGAAGTGATTGTTAATAAAATAGAACAAAAATGTTTCAGAATTTTGTTGAAAGATAAGAGTAGTTTTGGGAATTTCTTTTTTTTTTTTAAAAAAAGAACTCTCCACAAGGCGCAAGCTATTATTTCAAAATAGGAGCTAATCCGACCTGCCGGATTCGAACCAGCGACCTAAGGATGGCTGGATTGACCCACTACAGTCCTCCGCTCTACCAACTGAGCTAAGGTCGGTTTGTGCTCTTAGTCGCCCAAATATTTACTAATACGTAAATTTAGACAAACTGGCGAAATGAAAAAAGAGGAAATACGGAATAACACTTTTATAAAATATTAAAATGTAAGAGCCGAAACGCAAGGAAAATGTATATATCTGCATAGTTTTTTCAAATTGTCAAAAATGGCTATTCCCCCAAAAAAGTTATATGATCTATTCTTTTCACAAGTGAAAAATAAAAATATTTCTTATAAAATATTAGGTCATATAACAACATGTTCTGTTTTACCTCGATGAGTGCTAAGATCAACAAATCAATAAACAATGGGTCCACTCTTCCCATTTTCATAATATATGGTCAGAATTTTCATCGTATTGGTAGCTTAATACCGCATGAGGGGTGCGAACCGAAATTTGCATAATTGTATATTCACGATACAGATAATGAAATTGCAAACCGTATTGCCTCTGTCATGTAAATTAGATAACATTTTCTATGCCAAGCACCATGTGCTCAGATGACACCTCTGTGACTCTCCTTAAGGGAAGGTCACAGAACCGAACCCCGGTGGTGGGTGTTGACTCTTTGGGCTGCAATAGTTAGAGAAGGTATAGAACAGATACTACCTTGTAAGATGTTAACTCTGTTAACTATAGTAGTTAGAGAATGTACATATACTACCTTGTAATAGAGTCAATAGTATTAAAAAAAAAGATAATATTTTCTATTATGAATTTTAAAATCACTTTTTAAAATTGTCTAATCAAATTTATTCATTAATAGTTGTCCAGGGAAAATCAAGCTAAACAAAATTTGCATGTTGAGGTGGTGCATGGAGGATATTAAGGATGTTTTAGATGTAAATAATGTCTTAGTTAAATCATTTCGTATGGCTATGGCAGAAATCGAATGTAATCCACGAGTAGAGGTTAAAATGAGATTAATTGGTAAATGGACTAAGGATGCAAGAACTTATAACCTACCAACAACGTCAGAGGTTGCAACACTTATTGTTGGCGATTTGGATCTAACGATGAGTCATCGTGACATTTTGGTGGAGTGCAAATGTGACAACCCAAAAAATTATTTTCCTAAATTCTATTTAATAAATCTCAAAATGATTATTTTTACTCCTTCAATTTTTTTTTTTTTTTTTTTTTTTTTAAATCGGTGTATGAATTAAATATTTTAAATCGTGATTTTAAACCAATTCAACACCAAGAAGTAGTCTATTTCGAAAAATCCTAAGTTTCGGGTATATCTATGTACCAAGTTTTGACCCAAAAAGTCAATATGAGTGAAACCTATGAAACTTGAACCAAATGTTTTACACTTTTACTTAGAAAAAATCTTATAGAAAATCTATTTATAACCTCAAAGTTGTGTAAAATCATTTTAAAGCCTTAGCTTGTATTAAAGGAGTCTGATGAATTTTACAAACTCTTTTACCCTTTTGCCCTCCTAAGCCAATGATTTGTCACCTAGGGTTTTGCACCCATATAAATAGAACAATATTCTCTTTGTTTCTCTTGATCCCCTCCATTTTGCCTCTTCACTCCAAGCGTTAAGAAATCTGTTAGCAAAGAGAAGAAATCACAGTAAGTGTCTCTACCTTCATCTTCTCCATTCATTTCATCTTCCTGGCTTATTCATTCATCCTCTGCCTCCCATCTCTGAGTTTGCCTTAAGCTTTGTATGTGTTTATGTTTGTTTGAGAAAATAGGCGGTGAGGGTGGTAATCTCTGAAGAAGACAGGAGAGGGATCCACACTAGAGGAGGACAAGCTCAAGGTATAAACCATGGATTCCCAAAACTAAGATTTTTAGTCTGTTAAATGCTAGAATCTTGAGATTAAATGTTTATAAATGTTAGAAGATGCTTGTTGTTGAGTCATTTGTGTGTTGTTGGTATTATATGATTGATTTATTGTGATCTGAAAGCTTTTACTTGAGCTCAGTGTTGAAGTTTTGGAGAAGAAGACCTCTGCTGCACACTGTCTAGTGCACCAGACATGCCTTACGGCCCTAGCCAACGGATCTAGGGGAGATCCGCTAGCCCTAGGACCGTGGTCCAACGGACCAGGGCGCGGATCTCAACGAAATCTGTCACTCAAGGCCGTTGCTTGGCGGAGCCAAGTGGCGGGGCTTCTCAAGCCTCGTCAACAAGCTCCGCCAGGCCAAGTTCAAGAAGGCCGGACCCTTTGAGGCTCGGACACTCGGGCTCGTAACGACGCGCTAGAATGCGTTGTTTTCATTTGATTTTTGAGTAGAAGCATGTTTAGCAGACAAGAATGAAAGTTGAGCTCTGTGTTGTTTTTTGCTCTGAATAGAAGTCTGTGAAGGGAAATTCTTAGCATTTGATTATGTGAGTGTTTGGGTGATTATGATATCTTGCTCTATTTAACCCTTGATTAGAAGAATTGTTGAGTTATTGAATTTACATCCATGAGGTAGTGTATTTCTTTCCAAGCTTTACAGAAAAAAGAGCATTTTAGCATGTTTTAAAATTTAAGTACATTAAAGGCTCTAAGTAAAGCCTAGGTCACATTTCAAAACCTATATCTATTTTGGAAAATCTATATCTTTTTGCATTGAGAAGTTTGCATGATAAATTGATTTCCAAAACTTGAAAGAGAAGTTATATGATATGTGCTTGTGCATTGAGAAGCTTGCATGACATCTAGATTATTTGCATGAGAAAAGAAGTTGCATGAGATATATATACTATGCATTTGGTGAGGAAAAACCCATGTTTTGGAGGTCCCCGTTAGGACTATGTCCTTTCGGAAGAAAAGAGAAAGAAAGAAGTTTGAGAAAAGAAAGAAAAGGTCACAGAGGACCGACAGTTGATTTAGAAGTAACTTGGTCGATATTTCCGAGTTGCTAGGTTGGATACTACCCGTTGGGCTTGAAATCCCGGTTAGGGGGTGTGCACACTGACAAGTACGATACCTGATTCCACATAGTTTTTATAAGAACCATGGGTACTGGTTCTGTGGGCGAGATGGGTATTAGGCCGTCTAGATGCCGAGCCCGGATAGGTCCATTCATGATTCGTGAAGTTCCTACCTCGCCCGCGAGTTTAGAATGAAAGCAAGAAAGAAGAAAGAAGAGAAAAGTGACTCAACAGAGATCCTTCACAGAAAAATGTTCATTTTTATATAAAAAGCGAGAGTATATCTATATATTTATATCATCATATCCTTACCTGTGTCATGACTTAGCATATGTTTCATTTAGAGCAATGTGCGGATTGGCTTGCCAACCTTGGCCAGAATATTGATTGGGGAACTCTCATCCTGGATTCGCCTCCGACGGATCTAAATGCTTTATTGGATGCCGATGCTCGTAGTAGACCCGTCCCAAGGATTAGATAACGCCTTCTGCTGAAGGCGTCAATTGCACCTAAAAAAAAAAAAAAAACAGAATGCCAACAATCCTAATTCTAATTACAATAAACAAACCACAAATCCTAATTGAAATAAAAAAAATCCTAATTAATTGCAGTAAACAATAAACAAATCTAGTTACAATAAACAGTAAAACATAATACCAACAATCCTAATTCTAATTACAGTAAACAAATCACACATTCTAAATTTCCAATTCACTGCATACTAAGCACTTAGGGCAGTAAAACTTGAAATCAAAAAATACCTTTGCAATTAGGGCATTAGGTCGTGAGCCTGTGAAAGTTAATGGTGATTAGGCGAAGGTGGATTGCGGAAGGTCTGGTGGTAAATGGTATTGAACTAATTGAAGGCGAATTTGCAGATACCCAGATAGGACCGTTGAAATTGATTGTCGCCGATGGTGAATGGTGGATAAGTGGATTTGCAGATTGCAGTTTGCTTCTAACTTCTGAACTGTTATTGATGGATTTGATGACACAATTTTTACCGTTGAGAAGGCCTGGCAATCGACGAGTTGGCGACGCTTGGGGTGGGTGCGAGTCTGCAAGAGAGTTTACGTCTCAAGTCTCCTCGTCTTCTCGTCTTTTTCGACAGGGGCCCGTGTTCCTCGTAAAGTCTCAGAGATGCGACCAAAACGGAAAAATAATAAAAGAATTTTTTTTATAATTATATATATATATATATATATATATATATATATATATATATATATATATATATATATATATATATATATATATATATATATATAACTATGGACTATGGGCCCCTAGGTAGAGATGGGCCAGGGCAAGGGCCCAGCCTGCACTTACCTAGGGCCGGGCCTGCTGATGGTGAAGACGAAATCTAACGGTGTTAAATGCTTCTTCCTTGAAGAAGACAGAAGGCAGAGGCATCGCAGCCTAGTGGTGGAGCTAGCGTTGGATGCATGGGGTTTTCTCTTCAATTTTTTTTAATGCCACTCTTCATTTTTCTTCACTGAATGTCATTTTTCATTTTTTTAACTGAATGCTTGGCGAAGTTACAGCTGGAAAAACGAGAAGGAAAGATGGTCGAATTGAACTCCCCCGGAACTGCCCCTCATCTTCTCCCTTTCTCGCCGGTTGACCCTCTCCCGTTTGATGGTTGAGGAACATGGCTTTTTTGTCGCGATCCCCATAGACCACGTCAAAATGATGGTGTTAATTCTCGTGTATGTAGAACGTATATTGTATGTATAAACAATAGGGTAGACAAGAGAAAATAGCTCAAAGGAATCTCTTATTCATTGATGTTTTTGTTTGTTGTATAGTACATATTCTAGAGAGAGGGGAGAGGTCTATATCTTAGAGAGAGAGAGAGAGAGAGAGAGAGGAGAGGGTCCTCAACATGAAGGGCTAAAGCCCTTTATATAGGCCCAAGCATTGACCTTGACTTTGACCGGCTGACCCGAACCGTTTGACCCCGACCCGTCTATGAATGAGAGCATGGACGTACATAGAGGTACAATCCGGGGTATATATCCTATCAGACTTACTTCCAAAGAAACCTATTTTTGTTCATGGTCAATTGTATGTTGTAATGTGTAATATTCAATTTACTTTTTATTATTATTTAATAATAAGTTTTGTTTTTAAAATTATTATTTTTTAATTCATGTATCTATTTAATTTATTATACTTAAATTAGGTCTATCATAAAGAACTTAAAATAATTATAGTAATATTATCTCATATAACACAATAACAATATTTCTAATATTTAGTCCGTGCAATGCACGGATAAAATACTAGTTATTGAACAAAAAATGATAAACGTTAAGTACTAATAAGGACACAAAGATAATATTGTGATGCACCATTGTTGTAAACTTTAATTGGCCATCATATTTGCCTTCAACACTTCAAAAATTCTTTTGCCAACCAAACATTAGAGTTCAAGACTTCAAGAAATTGTTGAAATTAAAAAATAATTTAAATTCTTCCGAACCAAATGGACAATTTTTTTTGGAATGAATTGATTACCTCTTTGCGGAGCATAGAGCTAGGTGTGAATGCTCAACCAGTACCACACATTCGGCAATCATGATGTCAAAAATTTTTGGATGACGAGAAAAATCTGCAATCACTAATTGAGAGTGTGTACGAGATAAACTCGTCTTGTGACCCTAGTCAGTAAAGTATCACAAAGAGGTAAATCAAGTTAGGTTGTTCATAAGTGATTGGTTAAACCATGAGGCCAATAGGTTGCTCGACACTAGTACAAAAAAAGCCATCTGAGTCTCCTATATAACACTTTCCGAGTCACCTGTACAGGTGACTCGGATTCCAGAGCCTCTGAAAGTGTTTAGCTTTCCGAGGCACCTGTATAAGGTGTCGCGAAAAGCTAAATAAGCATTTTTTATTTTTTTTATACAGACTTTCCGAGGCACCTGCTATGCTGCAGGTGCCTCGGAAAGTTTTTTATTAATTAATAACCGCGACACCCAAGCACTGGTGGGTGTCGCAGAAAACTTTTTTTTTTTTTTTTTTTTTTTATAATTTCTTTCCGAGGCACCCTCAGCACTGAGGGTGCCTCGGAAAGTTCCCATTTAAAAAAAATAAAAATAAATAAATAAATAAATAAATAAATAAATAAATAAATATATATATATATACATATATATATATATATATATATATATATATATATATATGTATATATATATATATATATGTATATATATATATATATGTATATATATATGTATATATATATGTATATATATATATATATATATATATATATATATATATATATATATATATATATATATATATATATATATATATATATATATATATGGTAGGGAATATCCCGACCGATTTGCCTTTGTTTTTCTCTCTTTGTTTTGCAGGTAACAGGTCGGGCTTCATGTGAAGAACCCGGTCGGGGTCTGACCGGGAGTTGCCCGAGCAGTAGTGTCGACCACCGAGCGGTAGCCCTTTGGCCAGAGAGCTGACAAAGGACACGTGGCGGCTCTTTACGACGACAGACAGGGCACCCGGGAGGATGACACGTGGTGGCTACGTGGAGAACATGCCGAACGGTCGGATCCTTGTCCCCGGCACAGCGGCTATAAATACCCACAGTAGCTACAGTGTAGAGGACTTTTGGACGATCGATAGGTTGTTACTAGAGAATCCCGACCGCAGTCAGTCGGCACTCAGAGCAACCAAGTAGATTGTACTTAGGGCCTCTACCGTGATCAATAAAGATATTACTCGCTTTAATTGGTCTCGGGTTTATTTTATATTGCTTACGTAGAATTAGCAGTATCATTTTGGCGCCGTCCGTGGGGACCTGTGCAAGAAAGCAACGTCTTGACGAGCACTCCGTCTCTTTGCAACAATGTATCCGTGGGCTTACAACAACTTCGCCGACGACCAGGCGGATGCAGCGAGTTCATCTGACCACCATGCTACCCAAAAGCAAGGTTAGACAGTGGAACTGAATCTTAATCTCTCACCACCGCATTCGTCCAACACATACCCGGTTGCTCAACAACCGGTGAACTACATTCAACCGGGATACCCAACACCCGGTCAGCCGTATCAGCAACAACCGGTGATGTATCCCGGCCAATATCCATGCCCGGTCCCACCTCCGCCGTACGGGTATTGGCCTGGCCAACCGATGTACTACACTCCCCCGGTTGGGTATCCACCATATACGCCTGCTTACACGGCTCCAGCCGCCGCCCCTCCAGTTTACCCGACCGCACAGGTAGAGCCGCAGCGTCAGTCCGCTTCCCGGGCTCGACGCTCGGCTCGTTCGCGGTTGGGGTCGGGGGGTGCTGATGCGATGGAGGCACCAGGGCAGGCCCAGCAAGCGGTCGGGGTTCCCGTCCAAGCGGAGGACCCCGAAGAAGTTGCCCGAGCGGCAGCTTTTGATCGTCTTCGACCAGAGATGCGTCAGCGTTTAGGACCCCAAGACCCGAACCGCCAGCAAGAAGACGTACAGATGCAGGAGGCCAGCCAGGAGGCTTCATCCGGGTATAGCGGGTCGAGATCTCACCGACGGCGACGCGCTCGGGATACAGCCCAAGCTGCTCAAGCCGCCGAGCTCAACGAGACCCGAGGATTACTCTATAACCTCCAGGCGGAGTTTGCGCAATTCAGAAACGCGCACCCTGCAGCACCCCCGATCGACCAACCGACCCTACACCAGACGCCTGTCACAGCGGCGGTGATGGCTCAGCCTTACCCGCTTGATTTAAAGGTCTCTGGAGAGAAAAGTTATGATGGTCGGACAGACCCCGAGGCTCACGTTAACGACTTCTACAGCAATATGACGCTGAAGGGCGTGTCAGACGCCGTAATGTGCAGGGCTTTCTATTCCACGCTTACCGGTCGGGCGGTGGAATGGTTCCGAACTTTGCAGCCGGGTTCGATCGACAAGTTTGACACCTTGGCGATCAAGTTTGTGAGAAAATTCATCACTTCCAAAGTGGTGAGGAAGCCCTATATGTATCTGGAGAAGGCCAAGCAACTTGAAGGAGAGAGCTTGACCGATTTCCTCATCAAGTGGAAGGCGGCGGTCGGGGAGGTTGAGCCCATGGATGATGCGACCGCCACTCACATGTTACACATCTCTCTCCGGGCGGGGTATTTATATCAAGATTTCATTTTACACCCCCCGGCTACGTATGAGGAGGCCCTTCGAAGGGTCACAGATTATGCCAATGCCGGCGAGGCGAACGCCGTAAAACGCTCGCAAGAGGTCGGGTCTTCGTCCCGTAAACCGGCCGGCCGGGCGGAACACCGATCGGGTGATGACCATCCCCGATCCCGCACCAGGCTGGGCATGACACTGAAGAGTGTACCCACTTGCGCCAACTGTTGGAGGATTTGCTCAATCTTGGAAAGTTGGACAAGTGTGTGGGGAGGAGAGAAGACCCCAAGAGGAACACCGATCGGAGAGATCAGCGGCGCTCCCATCACCGCTCCGATCGGTCAGGTCAGGACCGAAGAGACGATCGAAGAGATGATCGTCGCGATGACCGACGGGACCCTGACCCTCCATCTAGCAGCCGACCAGCAGGAAAGCCGACCATCCACGTTATTTTCGGTGGATTGGAAGACGCTTCCCGGCCGCGGAGCAATTGCCCGGTCGCCGTGGTAGATTCCCGGGAGACCGGGAAGAGGCAAAAGATGGAGCCCATAACCTTCACCCTGGAAGATCAACCCAGCAGCGGCGACCACGGCATGGAGGCGCTCGTGGTCACAATTGATGTGAAAGGGACGGATGTCCAGAGGGTTATGGTCGACACTGGCAGCAGTGTGAACGTCCTTTATTTGGACGTGTTTGAAAAGCTTGGACTAGACAGGAAGGAGCTGACTCCGGTCGGTGTACCACTGTCTGGCTTTACCGAGGCTCTTATTTACCCCGAGGGAAAGATAACGCTCCCAGTTGAGATCGGCACATCTCTGAAGTCGATCAAGACGGAGCTAGAATTCGTTGTGGTCATCCTCCACTGCGTCCACAACATTATCTTGGGCCGACCCGCCATTATGAAGATCGGTGGGATAATTTCAATGCCCCACCTGTGCATGAAATTCCCCACCCCCAATGGGGTCGGTGTAGTCCGCGGCGACGTCCAATCCGCCCGGAAGTGTTACACCCGAGCGGTCAACAGACGCGACTCCGGTTCGTCTTCCCGGGTGAACACCATAGCCAAAGAGGAGGCTAAAGATCGGAAGGAACAGCCTGAGCCTTCCGAGGAGATAGAAGAAGTTCCCCTATCCGAGGACCGACCGGATAGGAAGATTAAGATTGGCCGGGCCCTCCCCTCCGAGCTCCGGGCGGAAATTTTGGCTATACTCCGGGAGTATGCCGATATTTTTGCTTGGGGGCCCGAAGACATGCCCGGGATCGACCGATCGGTAATCTACCACAAGTTAGCCGTCGATCCCGCAGCAAAGCCGGTCGTGCAAAAAACCCGGCACCTTTCTTCCGATCGCCGCGAGTTTGTTAGAGAAGAAGTCAAGAAGATGGCGGCGATCGAGCACATCCGACCAGTGATCTATCCCGAGTGGGTGGCCAATATAGTCCTTGTTCCTAAGCCCCCAGCTTGGAGGATGTGCATTGATTTTACCGACCTCAACAAGGCCTGTCTGCTCGACCCGTATCCTCTACCGAGTATCCACCAGATGGTCGACGAGACGGCTGGGGCCGAGTTAATGAGCTTCATGGATGCATTCAAGGGTTATCATCAAATCATGATGCACCATGAAGATGAGAGCAAGACAGCCTTCGTGACCCCGGACGGGCTGTATTGCTACCGGGTGATGCCGTTCGGTCTCCGGAACGCGGGAGCAACCTATCAGAGAATGGTCAATATGCTTTTTGCCGATCTACTGGGCCGAACGATGGAAGCTTACATTGACGATATGCTGGTCAAGAGTCGGGACCGATCCGACCACACTCGGGATCTCCGGGAGTGCTTCCAGATCATGAGGAAGTACCAGTTGCGGCTGAACCCGACCAAGTGTACATTTGCGGTTCAGACCGGCAAGTTCCTCGGCTATATGATGACTAAGAGAGGAATTGAGCCCAACCCGGCCAAAGTAAAAGCGATTCTGGACATGCAACCACCTTCTACCGTTCGGGAAGTCCAGCAATTGACCGGTCGGTTGGCAGCCCTTAGCCGATTCCTCTCCAAGTTAGCCGAGCGCTCTTTACCTTTCTTCAAGGTATTGCGAAAGGTTAATGGATTCGTCTGGGACGAAGAATGCCGAGCGGCTTTTGATGAGCTGAAGGAGTATCTCATGTCACTAATCGTGCTCTCAAAGCCCGAGCTCGGAGAAGAGTTAGATGTATACCTCGCCGTCTCCGATCGTGCAGTAAGCGCAGTATTGTGCCGAACCGATCCGGAGGGGTTCCAGCGACCGGTGTACTATGTAAGCCACGCGCTACATGGTCCTGAGCTCCGGTACTCCCGGTTAGAGAAGGTCGTCTACGCCTTATACATTGCCGCGAAGAAGTTGGCTCCCTATTTCTAGGGTCGAGCAATTCGCGTGCTGACCGATCAGCCGATCGGGCCAGTCCTCCGAACTGCTTCATCGTCTGGTCGCCTAGTCAAGTGGGCGTTGATGTTGACCCAGTACGCGATTGAATACCGACCGAGACCAGCTATCAAAGGTCAAGCCTTGGTTGATTTCTTGGTCGAGTGCACCGCCCGGGATACCCTACCCCTCGAGGTTGCGGATCCTGAGGCTGAGTGGTGGTCGTTGGCTACTGACGGGTCGAGTAGCAAGAAAGGAGCAGGAGGAGGAGTGGTGGTTACGAGCCCGGAAGGATTCAAAGTCTATTTTGCTCTTATGTATCAGTTTCATTCGACCAATAATGAAGCCGAGTACGAAGCCTTTGTTAATGGCTTACAGTGCGCTCGGGACTTGGGGGCTGAATACATTCGGGGCCAAACAGATTCCGCACTCGTGGTCGGGCAGGTTCTCGGAGATTATGAAGTTAATGGAGAACGTCTGCAGTTATACCGAGACCTAGCCATGGAGAAGCTTGCTCAGTTCCGGGGGTATACCGTCCGGCACATACCCCGATTGGATAATGCCGACGCGGACATCTTGTCAAAGTTGGCTCAAGATGCCCCGGAACATATGTCGTAGATAGCACGAATCTTGGTGATCCCGAGACATAGCATCCATCGCCTACCGGTCAATCCAATCCAACCGGTAGAAGACAGTTGGATCACCGATCTAAAGGAGTTCCTCGAGCACGGTCGACTCCCAGACGACCCACAGCGTGCTCGGAAGGCCAAGCTTAGAGCCCCAACATTCCAAGTCTTGGACGGTCGTCTCTACAGGCGATCGTACGGAGGACCTCTTATGCGGTGCCTGACCGCATTTGAGGCTGATCTGGTCATGAAGGAATTGCATTCGGGAATTTGTTCTTCACATCAAGGAGGCCGATCGTTAGCCCGTCGTATCATGCTGATCGGGTACTATTGGCCGTCCCTCCAGCTAGACTGTGAAAAGTTAGCTCGGGAATGTGAGACGTGCCAACTGTTTGCCCGGATGCCTGGACGACCGGCAACTTTCTATCAGCCGGTCACGACTGCAATTCCCTTCGCTAGGTGGGGGGTAGACATCTTGGGCCCCTTCCCTCAGCTCTCTGGTCGGAGAAAGTTTGTGATTGTCGCCATTGATTACTTTTCCAAGTGGATAGAAGCCGAGCCCTTAGCCACGATCACTTCACAGCAGTGTGCTCGCTTCCTTTGGCGCAATGTGATTTCCCGCTTTGGCGTGCCCGTGCATCTCATCAGCGACAACGGCCGCCAATTTGTAAGCCAATATTTTCAAAATTTCTTGGCCACGATCGGGACGACCCATGTCCGGTCGTCGGTGGCTTACCCGCAGGGAAACAGACAAGTGGAAAACGTTAACCAGACGATTCTGGAAGGTCTAAAAAAGAAGCTACACTCGGCTGGTCATAGTTGGGCCGATGAGTTGCCATATGTGTTGTGGACTTATCGGACGACCCCGATGGAAGCTACTTTGGAGACCCCTTTCGCCCTGGTTTATGGGGCAGAGGCCCGACTCCCGATCGAGGCTTGGATCCCGACCGATCGAGAAAGAACCTATAATGTGGAGGAGAACGAACATGCGATGGTCGTGGATCTCGACGGGGTTGCAGAAAAAAGAGAGCTAGCCGCTCGGCGCATGGCTGAGTATCAGAAACGGGTCAAGAGTTCGAAGGATGTACGGGTCAACCCTCGTTATTTCCAGGTGGAAGATTACGTTCTACGACGAAGGGAGGCCAGTCAACCTTTGGAAGGCGGAAAGCTAGCTCAAAATTGGGAAGGGCCGTACATCATCAGTGCTATTATACGGCCGGGTACGTACCGACTGGAGACGACAACCGGTCGGATAATCGAGGGGACTTGGAATTCCGAGCACCTCGTTATGTTTAGGCACTAGCCTATTTTTTATAATCTTGGGACGAAGTGGGGGCTCGACCTGCGAGTTGGTCCCGGTCGTCATATGTAATTAAATTTACTATTGTAAATATTTGTTAACCGCCTGCGAGTGGGAAGGTTTAATGTATATACGATCGGTGATTGCTTGACCGTTTGTATACGGCGGCCCGGTCGGTTATTTTCTATACCTTTAGTGCATGCAGATTAAGTTACATCGACCGAGCGAGTTTATCGACCGGTCAAATACGCTCCTCTTCGGCGGACATTCGGATCACGCCATTTGATCGGGGAAGCCAGGAGCGTTCAGCATAATTCCCCGACCTATTCAACTTCTTTCCACTATCGCACTCACTCGTGCCTCGAGAGCACAATAGTGTGGGGGCTGGGATAAGGAAGTGTCTGTAGGCCCGTCGCTCGGGAAAAACCCGACCGTAGTGGCTTACTTATTTTCAAAATTTCGTCAAGGCCAGGAGATCGGGTAAACCTGATCAGGTTGGCCAGTATGACGTTGATATAAGTCCGTTGTTCGGAGATATCCCGAACGTGGAGGCTTACCTATTCTCAAAATTTCGACAAGGCCTTTGGATCGGATAAACTCGGTCGGGTAGGCCAATGAGACGTCGAGATTTTAGATGTGCGACCGGGCCATAAGGCCATAAGGTCGGATATCGAGTGGGGGGAACAGTGTTTTGGATGTGCGACCGGGCCATAAGGCCACAAGGCCGGATATTGAGCGAGTAGGAATAGTGCACGACCGGGCTAAAAGGCTGTAAGGTCGGGCATCTATGATCGGTGTACGCACATTGAAAATGAAGATGTAAAGTAAAAAATGAACGGCACAAGTTGAACACAAAAGTAATTTATTAATCAAAAAACGCGCCCGGTACAACTCGGGACCGGGCTCCCGATTAGCATCACTTACACAAGGAAGTAGAATTTAAAACTATCCTACTTCTTCGCCTCCTTCGCTTCATCCTTCTTAGAAGTACCCGCCTCGCTCGGGGTGGTTCCCGTTGACGTGGTCGGGTTGGCAGTGATCTCCTTTGAGGCAAAAGGGGAAAGACCGGGATCAGCCAAGTCGGGAGGGAGTGCAGACAATACGAGTTGGAGGTCGTCTCCTTCGAGAGCTTGCCCCAATCGTTTTTGAGCATTCTCCAGCATCTTCCTTTGGCCGGCCTTGAAGGCCCACCGACCAAAGGATAGAATCAGATCCTCCCCAACCTTGGTCCGTCGAGCGGCTGTGAGGAAGGCTGAGCCTACCTTGCCATCCTTGAAAGCTGATTGGGCCAGCTCGTCCGGATTCTCCAGGCGGGTTTTTAGCTCCTTGTTCTCCCCGATCGCCCGTTGGGCGACCTTCTCCGCCAGGACCCGGTCCTCCTCACTCTTCTTCAAGGCCTTCTGGACTTTCTCCAGCTCGGCCTGGATGTCCTTAACCTCCTGAAGACGTCGAGCAGCCATCTTCTTGTGACGGTCGGCTTCCTCGGCCAGCATTGCCCGACCTTGAAGAAGTTGAGCCGCTCGGGAGATCTGCAATGAAAAAATGTTTAGTCAGCTCGACCAGAAGCACTTGAAAAATCTTTAGAAGAAGAAGGTGCTTACCTCGGCCAGGTCGTGGCCAATCCGTTCAGCCACTTGAGTTGGGGTCATCTTCCCCAGATCTTCTTTAACTGGCCCGGCGTTCCCGATACGGGCCAGTATGGACGACTCGTCCTGGTTTCGCCCGGTCGACGGGCTCGGGCTATGCTGCTCCCGGCGGCGTTTGATACCGCCCACCTCGGTTACGCCCCGCTCCGGCGCTTTTTCTTTGCCCCGAGCGACTTCCACCCGGGTGACCAGTACGTCGCTGGGCTCAACCACAAAGCCCTCGGCCGTCGTGATGGTCGAGGTCCCCAGGGGTCGGGCCACAGGAATTTCCTTCTGCCCGGCTGGCTTCGCCTTCGCTTTCTTTTTACCGCCAAGGGAAATCTTGGCGGGTGGGGGAAGGGAAGTGTCGTCATCTCCGAATTCGGCCATTTCTGCAAGATAAAAAGGAAACGGTTAGCTCGGGAAGATAAAGAACAGTCGGGATATAAAGGGTCGGGGGAAGTAGTTAGCCTCGAACCTTTACCCTTCCTTTTTCCCCGAGCAGGCATCCTTGCAATTGTTACACCCGCCGGCTCGGGTTTGTATTTTTCGGTCAGGTCGTAAACCGGATCGGGGAGTTGGGCGGCTTCATAGCACTCGGGCGATTTGAAGATGCGATACTCGTAGATCTCGCTCGAGATCTTGGTCACAGCATCTATGAGGGCCTGGGTCTCGACTGGGACGACTTGTCTTCGAAAATGCTGGCTCCAGACCCTCTCGACCGGGAGGATCCACGGATCATATTTTACTGAAAAGATCCGGTTCTTCCACCCCCGGTTGTTCCCGGGCAGCCCCTCAATCGAGCATTTATCCGCTCGGGACTGGGTCATCAAAAATCCACCCCCGTACGCGGCTGCCAGCACCTTCACTTGGTAGACGAAGTTGAAGAGCTCCATGGTGCAGGCTAAGTCGTGCCGACTGCAAATCTGGGGGAAACACGCGATCATACAGTGCGCGTTCGGGCAAATTTGCCCGGGCATAACCTAGTAATAGCCCAGGAATGCGGTAAGGAGGCTGGAGAAGGGGAACGTGATCGGGGCCATTAACGAATCGTAATGCATCCCGATCCACTTCCCCTGATGCCGCTCGATGATATTCCCGAGCTGCCTGCTGGTGTCGAACTCGACCCGACCAGCGAGAGTTGCCGCGATTCTGCTTGCTTCCCCTTTCGTCAGCAAGCTCATCTGGCCTTCGACGCTCTCGCTGTTGAGGAACTCAAACCCGTCCTCGCTTGGCGTCGCCGGCCCGGCCGGGTCTTCCTCGACTGTTTCCGTTTCGTTTGCCCGGTGTTCCACCTCGGGCTCGGCTTGAGGGTAATCCCCTATTACCCTCGTAGGCGTTTCCCTAACGCCTGCATCCGGGGAATTTCGTCCGCTCGTGGACGTCTCATCGCTCCCCGACCCGCTGGAGCTCGACCCGGATGTCCCCGACGAGCTCGATGACCCTTCTGGCCCGGGGGCTCGGTCGGGTATGTGCTGTGGTCGTTGCTCGACCTCTGGAGAGTAGGACATGATGTCCACCTCCTCGCTGCTCTGCTCGATCGTGTTGTCGTAGTCTGCGATTGAAGCGTTCTGGCTTTCTGAGTCCGACATATTTTTCTACCTAAAGGTCGGTCGGGGTTAGTATAGGGTTCGGGAAGTTAGTTCGAAGTTAGTTCTATCCTACTCCTACGCAAAGCTAAAAACAAAGTAAAAGCTAAAGAATAGAGAGTTTACCGATTGGAGAAACTTCGCTGAAGTTGGTAGGTAGGTTGCTCGGTTGATCTGCTGAGTAACTCGCTCGGGACTCTTAGAGGGTGCTGATTGGATCAGAAGATTGAGGAAAGTTCATTTGAAGGCCTCAGGGCCCTATTTATAGGAGAGCATTTAGGCGGGAAACCAATCCATTTGCGTGACACGACCAGCGCTGATTCCGAGGCGACCGTTGCAGTCGCAGAGGCTGGCAGTGGCCAACACGTGGCGAGGGAAGGAATGACAGCTGGTCGGTCGGTTTGTTGGCCGACGTTTGGGCTTCTTCATCCCGTCCCGTTTTTTCCCGGACGGTCAAAAAGGCCCGGGCTGGGGGGCTTTTGGTAGGGAATATCCCGACCGACATAAGCTTTACCCCGACCGATTTGCCTTTGTTTTTCTCTCTTTGTTTTGCAGGTAACAGGTCGGGCTTCATGTGAAGAACCCGGTCAGGGTCTGACCGGGAGTTGCCCGAGCAGTAGTGTCGACCACCGAGCGGTAGCCCTTTGGCGAGAGAGCTAACAAAGGACACGTGGCGGCTCTTTACGACGACAGACAGGGCACCCGGGAGGATGACACGTGGTGGCTACGTGGAGAACATGCCGAACGGCCGGATCCTTGTCCCCGGCACAGCGGCTATAAATACCCACAGTAGCTACAGTGTAGAGGACTTTTGGACGATCGATAGGTTGTTACTAGAGAATCCCGACCGCAGTCAGTCGGCACTCAGAGCAACCAAGTAGATTGTACTTAGGGCCTCTACCGTGATCAATAAAGATATTACTCACTTTAATTGGTCTCGGGTTTATTTTATATTGCTTACGTAGAATTAGCAGTATCAATATATATATATATATATATATATATATATATATATATATATATATATATATATATATATATTGAAATACAACAACAATAATAATAGTCTATTAGATTTTACAAATCAACAATACAAGAAATTCTAAAAGAAATCAAACTAAAATCCAAAAAACTACATATATAAAATATTCATTGATCAAGATATAATTCAAGAGTTAGAGATAGGAAGAGTGCCACATGAATTCCTAGCCTGTAAACCAGTTCCACAAAAGTAAGCAAAGATAACATATTCCAGTTACATTCTTCCCCTTTCCCCTTTAGTTTCTCTTATCTTTCAAAACCCATAATTCATTCCTCTTTTCTAGACTATGGTCAGTAACCCCTTCAGCACCATTTTCTACCAATAGCCTAATGACTGATTCATGCTTTTCCAAGATGGCCTCCCATAATGGTACTCTCCCTTCTGTATCTGTATATGTTAAAAGACAAACAAAATGCAGAAAATACTATAAAAATTACTTCTTAATAGTACTTGTTGCTGGTTCTTGATTTCAATCATCTGACCCATTAAGAACTGTAATCATGTTACGAGCAGCACCTCTCACAACCAAGCGAAAATCCCTTCAGACTAAGATACTTAGCATATTTCTGCAAGATATATGCAAAAGAACAAAACAAATTAGAATTTCACCTAAATGTTTGATTTACCATTGGTATAGATTCAAAGACATAAGAAAACCTAAAATACTAATTAACTTAGACAAATTAATACTAATCATTGGAATGGGAACAAGATAGTATCTTATGGTGTCTTACTACATGCTGATGATAGGTATTAAACTTATTTGAAACACTCATTCTTGGGTCAATGAAAGAACTGTGAAAGTCATTCCCCATTATAAAGATACACAATCTTACAGAATGAATTTCAAATTATTCAACTTACTATTGGATGCTAATCTCATCACAACCTAAACTGCATTAGCGATTCAAAAATTAGTTGGATTGATCTCTAAGTTAAGAATTCACTCTCAAATAAGTTAGAAGAGCGTCTTCTATAACCTGAACTAGACCAGGGACAGGATACGCCTTCGGTCATTTATGGATATTCGATCAAAACTATACTCTGTACATTCCAGATCAGCATTAAAAGAACTGAAAGATCAACACGACAAATTTGAAGCATCCATCTAGCTTCTCATCTATTATTCAAAATTGTTTCAAATAAAGTAAGATTAACACCTGTTTAACTGTTTTGAGCTCCATTTCTAATTGCTGAATATATCACCTATTTTGCTCACAGAAAAAGTTTCAAAATACACATATTACTCATGTATCAAACACAAAGCAAATCATTACGCACTAATATTAACCTCAGGATATTCTAGCCCAAACATACCATCAATGGCAAAACGAGCCAACCTGGATGCTCCCATTCTTTTGAACAAGGGATCCTTAACTTGTAAAAGTGTCACAGACTGCTTCAACAGATTGTCTCCTAAAAAGGTCAAATCGTATTATTACCAACACCAATCAGAAAAATAAAATAACTATAAATTCTAGGAATTGTTGAGTTTAGAACTTGCAAACACACACCCATGTATGGGAAAAACTGATAAGCTACAACTGTTGCAGTCCCAGCAAAAAACAGTTTCAATAGGCACCCTATTTTCCTTTCAGCCTCTTCTTCTAAGGATCTTTCATCTACAAAAAAAACATGTATGCTTATATGAGATAGAGATTCTCAACTACCAAGAGTAATAGAGCCAACCACCCCCACAAAAAAAAATTAAATAAATAAACACACACCAACGATAACATTTTTTCCTTCTTACCATGCGGGTTGTGAAGTCACCAAATGCCTAAGTTCTTGATTGTCTCTTCCGTTTCCAGTGGTAAAATAAAGGCTCCAGAACTTTCTCCAGATCCTGAACCTTAACCTTATATCCTTGAAAGGTTTTGCTAATGAAGTTTGATTGGTGGTTCCACCAGACCAAACCAAATCTAATGAAGAAATTTTGTTATTGAGAAAGTTTTCCTATTCAATATAGGACATTGCTACGAAAATACATACCTGATAACTGTTTAGACCATCACCAACCAAGCCAAGTTCAGCCACATATGGTCTGGCACAGCCATTAGGGCAGCTAGTTACTCGGATCACCACAGATTCATGATGCTTAAGACCAACCTGAAATCATAGAGCCAAAGCTTAGCAGTACACATCATTGCCTAATTTTCTAATATCATAATTCACATGTTTCCGCTGTCTACAAAATACCTTCTCAAACATAACTCGAACCCGTCAGGTTGAGGTAGCTGTCCACTCAGAAAATTGATGAAAGTTGTGAGACAGATTCATACAGAGCAAAGAATCCTAATTCATGATTGAGAATCAACAAATTATTCCAAGTGTAAACATTATTAACAACACTTACTGTTCTTTCTTCCGTATTCTTTCTTTCAAATTTTTCTTTTTTAAACCAAATTCAAAGCGTAGTTGCTCAATTACTATCACCTTTTTAAAATGAAAAATGTAAACACCCACTATAAAGCTAAAACAAATGTAAACAACGACAACCATCTTTAAATATGGAAAAGATGTGTACATAGACAGAAATGATCTAAGAAATTGAATAAATAAACTAAAATACATAAGCTCAGAATTCTAAGAACTCAAGAAAGCCAAAGTAACAGAATGATGACTGGAAGATAAGGACTTGTATATTGAAATTTTATTTTCCATATACATTTAAAATTCGTCGGCAACGGAATCGTCAGCAAGAACAACACTATACACAACAAGAACAAAACTCGAAGCTTACAGGATCTTTTACTTCAAGTCTACTGACACAAGATCTAAATATATAAATATAATATAATATAAAATAAAAATAAAAATAAAAAACAAAACTTACCTCAAGGTCGCCGGCAATGGAGCCGGGCAGTGAACTGTAGTGGTGGCGAGCGGCGAGGAGGCGGTTGGCGATGGCGGTCGTTGTTGTGGCTGTTCGGCGAGGAAGCGGTTGGCCGCGAGGAGGCGAGGGGAGGATGCGAAGAAGCGAGGAGGCGAGGCAGCGGCGTGGGCGTGACGGATCGTCGGGTTTGGGATCGGAGGATTTGGCTAAGGGTTTAATTTGGGGGAAATGCAGATAGTGATTGACTGGGGCTATTTTATTAATTATATATTGCGGATACCCTATTATTATATTTTAATAATATAATATTCGCGGCTCCTCTTAAGAAGGTGCCTCGGATTCCCTATAAAATATATAATATCTGCGGCACCTTCTATTGTGGGTGCCGCGGATACCCTTATTATTATTTTAATAATATAATATCCGCGGCACCTCTTTTCAGTTGGTGTTGCGGATTCTCATATTATTATTTTAATAATATAGTTTTCGAGGCACCTTTATTCGATTGGTGACACGAAAAGATTTATCATTTTTTTCCTGCAACACCTTTATTGTGAACGTGTCATGTAAAGTGTGACTTCTATTCTCAATTTTGTACTAGTGCTCCATTGACAAACATGTAATGTCAAAGTTTTACAAGAAGCAACTACTTTGCTGCTGCGACACTCCGGCTTTACATATACCTCCAAATGATCATTCATCTATTTAGACTCGCTCTTACAATTTAATTTTGTATTTGAAAAACATCAGATTCATCGAATATACTATAATAAAAACCAAATGAGGATTCCCTTACCTCAAACACACACTAGAGTACTTCTGTCTTGTCATTTTGCATCACTTCATCAATTCCTCAACTAATAACTCTATTTAAACTCCATGCCACCCCTCCCTCACAGAATCATCAACCAATTAATTAAGAAAGCTAAGCAATAATCATTCCCTCTCAGATCAGTGCCTTTATTATACCGTCACATTTTCAAGAAGTAGGATATTGGACTTTACCCGGTCTTCAGCCTCAGCACAACAATCTTCTAGCCATCTAGTACTCGACCTGACCCTTTAACAACTTCCGCCCAATTGAGAATGAAGTTGGTTCATTTCCTTGCATTTTCTCTCGTCTTCGTTGAAGCTGCTTTTGGGGACTTGGTGTGTGAGGAATTGGGTGTTGGCGTCTGCTCTTTTTCAATTTCATCTTCCGGGAAGAGATGCTTGTTAGAGACTTATCCATCCCGCCACGGGACTACGAAATTCCAGTGCAAGACATCGGAGGTGGTGGTGGGAACTAATATGCGTGAACATGTTGAGACAGATCAGATGAATGTATTGCTGCCTGTGGAGTTGATCGGAAATCAGTCGGAATATCATCTGATTCCCTCCTCGACCACCGTTTCATCGCTAGACTTTGCTCGCCACAATGCTACCAAAACTGCCCCAACATTGTTGATCTCTACTACAACTTGGCTTTTGAAGAAGGTGCCTCCTTAGCTTTCTTTCTTTTCCCATGACTTTTTGAGATTAATATAATGGACATTATTTCTCATTTTTGCAACATTTTTTACAGGAGTTCTTTTATCAGACCTCTGCAAGGCACTAAGGACCAGTTCTGGCCGTGCAATGACGTCACGGTTTCTGAGCTCTGGTGCCGCCTTCGCTCCGGCGGCAGCTCCGACATCGGAAGCATCGGCTTTTGCTCCAACTTCGACTGCCTCTGTTGATTGTGCTCCAGCACCTATGTAAAATCACTAATGGTTATTATATGTTTTATGGTTTTATGATATGATCCATCTTTAAATTACATATTCCTATTTAATTTGTATGTAAGATTGCAGTGTATTATAAGTATTCCTTCTTTATTTATGCAAATAAAATAATTCAAATCTTCTATCGTGTTATTAAGAATTGGTATATTCCTTTTTTTATTCTAGAGTTCGTTAGAGGACGAAATTAGGTGATTTTCAAAGTCAAAGATTAAATTAAGTAATACTTCATAGTATAGGGACCAAAACTTGTATTAACTCCTTATGTTTAATTCTAAATGTTTCTTATATGGATTCAAGTGCTTATTTTCATCCCTTCTATCTTCCACTTGGCCGTCACATGAATTCAATCAAGATGAACTCTTAGTTGGTTCACAATATGCACAATCTCTTCCTTAACTGCAGTCAAAGTACATCATGCATGTACATATCTCTAATTTTCCGGTGATCTTTTCCACTTTTCCACACACCACTCATCGTTGCCAAAGGGGCTCACTTGATCACGCTGTTTGAATTCATCATCTTTTATTTTGACTTTCGGTGGCCTTTGGTGTTACCAAAGACCACCTCATAGAGCAACCAGAATAAGTCGTCCTTAATGAGAGCCTTGTATTCGACTATATATTCCTTCTTAGTAGGAATTTAGGAATCTTTGCTCTAGACTCGCTACTCCCTTCTTGTCGCCCTATGAAATAGAAATTGTTGGCTTTGTGTCAAAATTAAGGTGCACTGAGGCTTAGAATTGAAAACACCTTCAAAGATTACACTTTTACCGGAAGTTGTACGTGTTGAATTTGTGATAATGGCCTCTGCTGCACAGTGGGCTGCAAATTTGGTAAAGCTCTGCATCCTCTTTCACTTTCTCTTGAAAAAGCATAGAATTCTAGAAAAATAAAAATCGTGTTAATACCCAAAATCGTCCTCGACTATAGTGGTTTTTCTCAATTTCGTCCTAAACAACTTTAGTGACCTAATATCGTCCCAAACTTTTGTGTTTCGCTCAATTTAGTCCCAGACTTTTGTGTTTTTGCTCAATTTAGTCCCTCATTTGTTATTCTGTCCATTTGGTGTTAAATAAATAGACAATTCAGTAATTTTAATATTGGCATCTCTTTACTCATAGACATGTGAACTGCGAAATCCTTTTTTTTTTTTTTTTTTTTTTTTTTTTTTTTTTTTTTTTTTTTTACGAATTACTCCCAGAATTACTCCTAACTGCGAATATAAAATTTGATTTGTAGGTCCGGGAGTAATTCTGGGTGTAATTCGTACAAGAAAGAGGAATTTCGCACTTCACAAGTTGAAAGTAAAGAGAGATCAATATTGACGTTACTGAATTATCCATTTATTTAACACCAATTTGACGGAATAACAAATGGAGGACTAAATTTAGCGAAACACAAAAGTCTGGGACGATATTAGGTCACCAAAGTCGTTTAGGACGAAATTGAGAAAAATCACTATAGTCGAGGACGATTTTGGGTATTAACTCAATAAAAATCGCACCATTAGTGAAAGTAAGGGATTATTTGTGTGACACCCCGAAAATCCTATCCTTTAAATAGGATTAATTAGATAATTAATTCTAAGTCATGCTTGTGGACTTTCTTATCAATTTTCCAAATTGATAGTCGGAGGACTTAAATTGACCAACTCATTGGTCAATTGATTTAAGTCAAAAAGGGGGACCTTTGGCTTTGATGGTTGTACCTAACTCTTTGGGGTCTTCCTAAGCTTTTCTAGGGAAATTAAGGGCATTATAGTCTTTTCCCATTTGCTTGGTCTTGAAGCCTTACCTTATCAAGCCTAAATCTTATTCCCCCACTTTGGCAAGAAAACCTTTCTCTACCTTCTCTCTAAGAAAACTTGGCTTCTTCCCCAAGCCAAGAAGAATCTCCTCTATCCTTGCTAGGAATCATTCCAAGATTCCACCTTTCCATCTCCCAAGCTTAAGGAAGGGTAAGATCTAGGATTAGTTGGTGTTTTTAGTTAGCTTTACCTAGTCTTTATCTAAGATTAGTGTTTTCTTGTGGTTTTGGTGGTGTAAGAAGATTTGGTTGAAGAGGAGCTTCAAGGAGAAGCTTAGGAGGGAAAAGGGAGAAGTCTTTTGGTCTACAAAGGTAACCCATGCTATACAAAACCTATTTTCTACTTGCTATTGATGATTCTTGACTTCTATTGATGATTCTTGGGGTTAATGTGAGATTTGATGCATGATCTTGTGATAATGCATGTTTAGAGCTTGTATCTAGGTTTCTTAAATGCTATCTTCTAATCTATTCTTGGGTTCAAGTCATTTCCTTGTTGTATGTGAGATTTGGGGTGTTTTGGACTTGAATTTGACCTTGAAAATGAAATTCTCCGAAGGGAATTATTGTGCGAGCAGGGCATTCCCCGCGGGCGAAACGGTGGGCAGATGTCCGCCCGCCGCCCCACCCGCGGGTGGAGGTGTGTACCCGGCGGGCAGAGCCGCGGGTAGGTACCCACCTGCGGTTCCACCCGTGGGGTACACAGGTGGGATTTTGGCGGGGGTTGTTTCCCCGTGGTTCCACTCTTTGGTTTGTGATGTTTTGGCCCCCCTTTGTTGGATTGTTGAGCTTGTGTGTGTCTCCTTGATGTTTCGTATGTCTAGAACGATGTCCTAAGTATCCGTGATAGGATTTGGTGTCTTGAATCGTGATAATAGTCCAACTTTGTGATTCGTTGGATTTATGTGATGTTTGAGATTCGTTGGAATCATTTTGGTTTATCCGTTTGATGTGCATGCTAGTTATGATGTCGTTGATGCTAGTATGTATTGTTTGTCCATTCCTTTTGAGGATTGGCAACTTGTGTTGCCAATCATGTTGATATTGGATTAAGTTCGTTGTTGTGGAGTATTGTTTCATGTCTATCATTGAAACCTCTCGATTGATTTCTATGATGTGATCTTGTACATTTGTTGTACCCGTTGTTGATACTTGATTGGGCTATTGATGAGCCTCAATCCTCTTGATGATGACTATGTGTGACTATGAATGAGAATGGTAGTATTGTGACTTGAGCTTTGTTCATGAGTTCGGCGGTATGTGACTATGATATTTAATGGTACCCTTGTGTACTGAGAGTTCGACGGTATTGTTTGGCGGCAGTTTGGCTGGGGACAACGGTCCCAGGCGGAATAAGGTTGGACTCAGAAATACAGGGTGGCACTCGGAGGTAGAGGTTGGAACTAAAATAAGGCCGAGGGTAGCCTTAAGGTTGGAACAGAGCATACGATTGGAACTTGATATTTGTCATTGTGTGATTTATTGTATTCATTGCTTATGAGCATGTCTATCGAGAACTCTACCTTGATTATGGTAGGTTGCGTCTATTGTTGAGTATGTTGCTTGTTGTCCTTATTGACTTGTTGATTGTTGTTGATGGTTGGTCTTTGTTGAGAGTGTTATGTTATGTCTCTTGATGTTCCCTCTCTTGGTTTAAAAATGATATATACGGTATTCCTCTATCTCAAATGGTTTTTATAAATCTATATATTATGTACTTAACGCGTATTGGTGGGTTACCAGCATCTTTCGCTGACGGGTGTTATCCCTATGTTTTTACAGGTTATGAGTAGCTTTTGGAGAGCGCGCTAGTGGACTGTAGATAGTGTAGCTCTTCGCATTTTCCCTTGTTTAGACTTATGGCCTGTGTGCCCTATCTCCTATGACTTTGTTGTTGACTTTTGGTTTAGACTTAGCTTGTGCACCTATGTTGAGATAGGTGTGGCATAGCACCTCCGTATTTAGACTTTGCTTCTGCTTTATCTTAATGGATGATTCGGGTCTTTTTTCTTTAATTTAAGCTTTTAAATTTTGGTAAAATCGGGGGTGTTACAGTTGGTATCAGAGCCTAGGTTTGAGCCTAGGATGTTAAGAGTTGAACTTTAAAAAGTTAAGTTGGAATTGAGACTCTAAGTTGACCTCTAAGTGACTAAGTGTTTAAGACTTAAGACTCTTAGGACGCGCGGTGAGATGTGAGTTTCCTTTATCGCTTGTTGTGTTTGCTTTGTTCGTTCTTGTTTAGCCGTAGCTCTCTCGCTTTAAGCATCGAGTAAGGGTGCAAGTCTCTTCGTTTCCTTGCCGTAACCGTGTTGTTTCTGTAGAACCTTGTGATGGAACCTCCTCGCTATCGCGCCCGGACTCCGGATACGCCCAAAAGTGAACAGTTAGCTCAGAACCTCCAACACCTCACCTAGACTATGCAGACGCTGAGTAATGCCCTCCTGCACAACAACAACAACAACCCTCCACCACCACCAGCTGGAAACCGCGATGTTGGCCAGCAAGTTTCGAGTCACCCACCTCCCGTTTTCGCCGGGGAAGAAGACCCCGCCCTCCTAGAAGAGTGGATCCGTTCCTTGGATAAAATCTTCGCCACTTTGCTTTGTATCTCTAGATTCCTTGTGTATTGAATTCTTGTGGTGACAATTGAGTTGATGTGATGGACAATGAGGGCTTGACTTTTACCGGGATTCGAGATCATGATATTATATGAATCGGGACTAGTCCCCGCGGATGTTACTGAATCGGGACGTCGTGTCCCCGTGGAATTATTGAATCGGGTCCTTTGACCCCGCGTAAACCATGAATCGGGACTTAGTGTCCCTGTGGGAATCTCTACCGGGTCCACGACCCCGCGGGAATCCATAGAAAGGGTCCTTTGACCCCGCGGTACATATTAGTTCTATGCCCTTATGATTGTTCCATTGTGATTCGAGTCATTTGGGGACTCCGCGGTGAATGACTTGGTTTGGGTATGTCCTTTGTGGATTTGGAACATTGTCGGTGATTGATTAATTGTGATATTTGTGTTGAGAATCATCTTGTTGACGATTATGCTTACCTTACCTTATTCGTTATCTCTTGATTCATTATCTCTTGATTCATTATCTCTACTTCTTGAATTGAGCTATATCGTTGGTTATCTCTTGATTGTTATCTCTATTCTTTGAGTTGATTCGTATCGTTGATTCGTGGTTTTGAGAGGTCACTACAAGAAAAATCGCGAATCGCGACGGAATTTCGCGACGGACAATATTCCGTTGCAATTTAGCGACCGAAATTGCGACCAATACATTCCGTTGCGAATTGGCGACGAAATTTAATTTCGTCGCGAATTTTGGCGCAAAGATAAAATCTAGCCCGCGAAATATTGGCGGCAAACATTCACGACTGAATTTGCTACCGAATTAATTGACGTCGTCCATTGAGCGACGGAAATGGCGACCGAATTTTGTTCCGTCGCGAAATGGCGACGGAAATTACGACCGACCATATTCCATCGTTAATTGAATTAAATTTTGTTATATTGCCTAAATATGGCGACGGAAATAACGACGGAATTAATTCCGTCGCAATAATGTTTTTAAATTTTATTTTTTCTTCTACTTTAAAGTTTAAAATTTAAAACTTATAACCTAAAATTAAAATTATGTTTTGTCCGCCGTTTCTTCATTTTTTCATCCCCTGTGTCCGCCATTTCTCCGCCGTACTCACGAAGCCAGGAGGCGAGCTGCTCACGAAGCCAAGGAGGCGAGCTACCCGCGAAGCCAAGGAGGTGAGGCCGCAACCTCAAAAAGACCAATTTCTGTGAGTTTTTCTGTGAGTTTATGTACTCTTGAGCTAGGTTTAAGGGTTTGGATGACTCTTGACTAATTTGTTAGAGCCTGTGTACTCTTGAGCTAGGTTTAAGAGTTTATCTGTGTGAGCCAAATTCTGTGTTGAGACCAATTTCTGTGTTGAATTGTTGAAGGAAGTTGTTGAGCTAGTGTTCCGTCTCAAAGCCCAAAGCATACATGCATTTTCTTTGTTAAAAAATGTAGAAAAACTAAATATAAAATTAAAGTATTTGAATTGGCTCAACTTATTTTATCTAAAAGGGACTAAAGGATTAGAAATGATTATTATTGCTGCTATTTTACTTTTGAAGATGCAGTTATTTTGGCATTATTGCTTTATGTACTCCTTTTTGTGATTGGAATTGTTGCTCTATTGCTGGGCGCCTGGGCCCTAGGGAGTATTTTGGAGCAATCTGTAATGGTTATGCATAATGCTTAAACATAGTTATTGTGTTAAGAGAAATTTGGTATTCTTACAATGATTTCCCTTTATGTTTGCCTAGAAGAGGATACAATTTGTGCCTTAACCTACATTTCTTTTAAGCAAATAGGCTTACTGTTAACACATATTGTTTTTAGTTGGATTCATTTCTATACACACTATACTTGATAGTTTATTAGATTAGTTCTTGTTTGGTGTAGGGTTGAGTAGAGATTAAGGAGTATAATTGAGAATAGACTAAGGATATTTTGTGAAATTACCATGTGCAAATGTTGAAAATTTGTATGAGTTTGTACAATGTTACAGAAAACTATGGGTGTTAGTGCCTTAATAAAGTTATCGGACAAATGATGTCTTAGATGATAATGCAAACAGGACTGATATCAACTAGAGGGATTAAGAAATTGACTGTTATGGAACCATAATGTGCACAACTATGCAAGGTGAACCTATCACTCCTTTTCTTCATGTGATTAACAAGTTTTTACGTATGAAAGGGAGAGAGGAAAAAAAAAAGTAAAAGAGCATTTGTTTGCATGCCAGTGTGTCTAATTTCACAAGTTGATTTAATGGCAATTTCACAGACTCTTCTATATAACTACTTTTTGTATCTTTAGCTATGTTCTGGTGGCAGGTTTGTGTTTACCATCTAGGGTAGTTATACACTACACAAATTTTAGCATACCATGATAACAGACATTTGCATTTTATACTATTTGACCTTTTAAATTTTTTAATGATAGAGAAGTGGCTTTCAAAATTTTGGGATATCCTCACATCTATAATACCATACTAATTCCACTGAGAAGAAATATATACCAGAGTTTCAAAGCTTGGTTAAAGTTTTGTTTGTTCAACGATTCCAATGTAACATTAGTCTAGGATGATGAATTTATTGATTATTAAAGGGAGGTCTTTGAATGCTGCAATTATGATCTGTTATTCACCTCAATATCTATTATTCTCTTTCTTCTCTTCTTGGATGCTACTCAACACTGACTTTTTTTACAATTATTGATGACTTTTCTGCATTCCCTTCTTTCATAGCATCAGTATCTGCAGAGGATGATGGGTTAATGGAAAGATCTTCTTCCTCTGTTATTGCTTCTTCATTACTAACTTTGGATACTGAAAATTACTTTCATTTGTAGGAAAGTTAAGCTGCAAATTACAATGATGATTGGGTTTCTTCTGCAATTCAATCACTGAAGAAGGCATCACCTACAAGCCTTAGATTTGATTGCTGATCGGTATGTTACAAGTCCAAATCATGAGTTAAATTTCATCTTGAATCAACACTGAATTATATTTCATCCTTAATTGTTTGTTTAAAGCTAAATTCATCAACAACATTTCCATGCAACACCCTTATATGACAAATATTGTTTATTGTTATCTAGGTTTAAGAGTTGATTCTCTTACTTCTATCGATAATAAGTACTAATTTGATTGCTTTTTCTATTGCATAATCATTACTTTGAAAATCATGATAATGTGTAAATATGTATGCATCTATAAATGAGTAATATGGATAGAAGTTGGATGTATCACATACGAACTCAACGTGGTAATCTTAGTCAAATTTTTATCGACAGATTGGAAACATTTATTGAGTTTGAATGTAGTAAGCCGAAATTCATGGATGGAACTAAAATTTGATGTCCATGTAAAAAATGTCGTCGTCACATCTCATTTGAAGAAGCTGTGATTGTGAGATTTCACTTGTGCAAATTTGGTTTTGTGCCAAATTACTTTGAGTGGAATAGACATGGAGAAATGTCACACAATCAAACTTCAATGGAGTTTGATGCAAATTGGAGTTTAAATGAGCAAAATGAACCGTTGGAATCATATCAGCAGATGGTTTATGATGTCACTGGTCCAAATCTCATAGCAAGGAATATGCGTGAGGAGCCAAATGTAGAAGATAAAAAATTCTTTGACATGTTAGATGCTGCTGATAGACAATTATGGTCTGGTTGTGAAAAGTTGACACAATTATCTGTTGTGGCTCGATTGCTGAACATAAAGACAGAATATCGTCTGCCAGAGCAATGCTTTGATGCATTCTGTCAATTGTTTAAGGATGGTTTACCTGAAGACAATAACATGGTTGATAGTTTTTACCAGACAAAGAAACTAATACAAGGGCTTGGGTTACCAGTGGAGAAAATTGATTGTTGTAGGTTGGGGTGCATGCTGTATTGGGGTGATGATAAGGAGTTAACCCAATGCAAATTGTGTCAGCAACCAAGGTACAAAAAATCAAGTCGTTCATCTAACCAACCACTTGTCTCTTACAAGAAAATGTATTGCTTGCCATTAGCTCCAAGACTGAAGAGACTTTATGCTTCAAAAACAACAGCTGCTTCTATGAGATGGCACAATGAGGATCATGGCCATGATTCTGGTGTTATGTGTCATCCTTCTGATTCGGAAGCTTGGAAGCATTTTAATGCAACGCATCCATCATTTGCATTAGAAAGCCGTAATGTTAGGTTGGGTTTATGCACAAATGGATTTCAACCATTTGGACAGTCAGGACAATAATATTCTTGTTGGCCTATCATCATTACACCATATAATTTGCCTCCATCTATGTGTATGAAAGAGCCTTATGTGTTTCTGGCTGCAATAGTGCTTGGACCCAACAACCCTAAGAACAAACTCGATGTTTTCCTACAACCTGTTATTGCTGAATTGAAACAATTATGGGAAGAAGGTGTGCTAACTTATGATGTCTCTTTGCAACAAAATTTTCAAATGAGAGCTGTTTTGATGTGGACAATTAGTGATTTCCCAGCGTATGCTATGTTATCAGGTTGGGGAACAGCAGGAAAACTAGCATGCCCATATTGTAGGGAACATTCACAAGCATTTCGGCTTCCTAATGGTGGAAAAATATCATGGTTTGGCAATCATAGGAAATTCCTTCCACTTAATCATCCATTTCACTTGAACAAAAAAAGATTCACAAAAAATCGTGTGGAAATAGGTCATCCTCCACTGATTAAGAATGCACAGAAATTTTAATGGAAATTGAAGAATTTGGACTATTAAAAGTTACAGATGCTAATGCAGAAGAGATGAATAAATCATGCAATTGTAGTTGTGGATGGAGAAAACGAAGTATTTTTTGGGATTTACCGTATTGGGAATCAAATCTCATTCGACATAATCTTGATGTCATGCACATCGAGAAAAATGTTTTTGAGAATGTTTTCAATACAGTAATGGTGATTCAAGGTAAAACAAAAGACAATGCGAAAGCAAGAGAAGATTTAAAACTCTTTTGTAACAGAAAAGAGTTAGAAAAGAACCATGCCACAGGTAAATACCCAAAAACTTGTTATTCATTAGACAATAAGCAGAAACAAGTGTTATGTGAATGGGTGACAAATCTGAAATTCCCGGATGGTTATGTCTCAAATATGGGAAGGTGTGTAGATATGAGCAAGTACAGGCTATTTGGAATGAAAAGTCATGATTGCCATGTTTTCATGCAAAGGTTAATGCCAATTGCATTTCGAGAGATGTTGCCAACCAAGGTTTGGGAATCAATAACTGAACTAAGAATTTTCTTTAAAAGCTTAGCTGCAAAAGTCATTAAAGTTGAAGAAATGACAAGACTAGAAGATGAAATCTCAATAATTCTCTGTAAATTGGAGAGCATATTTGTTCCTGGATTTTTTGACTCAATGGAGCATTTGCCATATGAGGCTAGGATTGCTGGGCCTGTTCAATATCGTTGGATGTATGGGTTTGAAAGATAACTTCTAATATTAATGATGTTAGATGCAATTGTATCTAATATTTGAATAAGTTTTATTCTTTTTTCAATTTAGATTGCTCCATGAGTTGAAAAAAGATGTGAAAAACAAGGCTAAAGTGGAAGGGTCAATTTGCAATGCATATTTAGTGCGTGAAGCCTCTATATTTTGTTCTCATTATTTCGAGCCACACGTTTATACACGTAGTCGAAAAGTACCTCGAAATGATGATGGAGGAGTTCCTGAGGAGGACGAAGAAAATTTGTCCATATTTAAATATCCTGGTCGCTTATATGGAAGATGCTCGTACCCTAGTATGAGACGAGATAAAGTTAATTGGTTAGTTGTGTGTAAAGTTCAACCTCGGGGATGGATAGAATCTTTCAAAAAGGAAAATGGTCAAACGAAAGATATTGCTTTTCAAGAAAAAGAAGTTGAAGAAACTGAAATTGCAAGTACTGTGGATGATGATTCTTTCGTTAGGTTAAGTGATGAAAATGTGGAATATCTCGACATTCCTAACATCAATTCAGATAACAATGAAGAGGAAAATGATGAGCTTGAATTTGAGTCTAGTTCGTCAACTAATGAAGATGAAGATAATGATTGTTATGATGATGATGATGACGACGACGATGATTATGAAAATTAGAGTTTATGTAGGTAATTCAAAAGTAATGCTTCATAAATATATATTATATGAAACACTAATATATATTACACTTTTCATATTTTTGTAGGAAAGATGCCAAGAGGACGTGGAGGTCGTTTTGCAGCTAGACTTTTGTCAATAAATGTTCTACCACTTAATGGAAATCACACATCGGCATTGGCATCGGCATCAGCATCGGCATCGACATCGACATCGATTCCCATAGTAGCATCAAGACCCTTATCACCATCCACGCCATCTACGGCTACTAATAATGGTCAGGTTGGACAAGATGTAGTTAGGCAACAAGGTGATATGGTTGACTCTGTAGGAGTGCATGGACGCCTACGAATTGATGTTAAGGATAATATGTAAGTTAAATTAAAATGAAATTTATTATTTGAATATATATTAATTTTTTAAATTTGACTTTTCCTTTTTATAGGTTGACTAGCTCAGATGTATGTGCTAGAAAAATTACTAAGTTGTTCAAAGAAAGAATAGATCCCAATGGTTATGCATGGGGACAACTTAGTGTTGAGACAGTTGAATTTTATTGGGAAGAATTCAAGGTAATATTTAATCTCATGCGTTGTATTTTAATTCTAAAGTGAATTATTGTTATTTTGTTTACATGTCTAACGTAAGTTCATATTTACATTGTGTTTTGTAGAAATTTTTTGAGTGGGATGCTACTAAAACTGCTGTAGTGTATAATGTTTGGGAGATAAAGGCTAAAAGAAGATATGCTGATTACATAAGCAGAATAAGGAAAAAGCCAAGACCTCCCTATGTCCCACCAGAAATATGGACAAAATAGAATGATGTTTGGAATTCTGAGGAGGGCAAGAAGAAAACAGAACTGGCTAAGAGAAATAGGCGTGGAGGAGTTTTAACTGGAGTTGCTCAAACTACCCATACCACAGGATCAACACCTCACGTAAAAGTTACAGCTCAACTTGTAGGTTCATTTGAATTGTTTAAGTTATAAGTATTATGTGTTTTGATTTATATGGAAAGAAGATATGGAAACCTGAGATTTATTTGAACTTGAATGATTTGGTAATGAGGATTGATTGAACTTAGGAGTAGAAACTGCAGAGTTAATTTGGGAAGCACTAGCCTAAATCTTTTAATGAGGATTCTAGGTAGAATGAATAACTAGAGTTTACTTGACTCCAACTTTTATGTTTTTTGTTGATTGTGATTGTGTTTTATTGTGTTTATTGATTGACGTTGGAGATTATAATTGAATTGTATTATATGTTGAACAGGGAGATAGTCTTATTTACAAAGGAAACTCTGCCGAATTTTTTCTTACTTTAATAATTGCTTTTGTTTGTTAAATATAATTTGTAGGAAGGATAATTGGGTCATTGTCCATCGTATTATGAACTGTTCAGGCATACACATACCAAACAACACGATGGGCAAACATTTATAGCTAAAAAAGCCAAACAAATTCATGTAAGTTTAATTTGTTTGAAGTTTTTAAAATATATATGCCTTTACATATATTTTGTACTAAATCTCTAACATATTTTAGGAACAAGTTGAATCGCAACGGGAGATGTTGGCAGAAAATGGGGAGCAGGTGGATGACAATCAATTATACTATTACGCGGTTGGTGGACACGATAAGAAAAGAAGAGTTTATGTACTTGGTTCATATGGTTGTTCTGTTGTTCATGGTCCAACTAATGATAACACTTCTGACAATATGACACCAACATCGCGACCACCCGACAATGCTACTTCTACTTCTGCAAATGTACAACATGAAATTCAGAGTTTGAAGGAAATTATTCTCCTTATGCAATAACGACTTGATGCTATTGATGGCGGGAGAGCGAGTATTTCATCATCACCTCCATCTCAAATCAATTGATTTTAATGGTTGTTTGTTAATGTTGTTTAGACTTGAATGGACTATTATATTATGTATTAACTATTAAGTGTGGATTGATAATGTATTAATATGTTGTTTAGACTTGAATTGACTATTATATTATGTATTAAGTGTGGATTGATAATGTATTATTATGTTGTTTAGAGTTTAATTGACAATTATATTATGTATGAAATGTGGATTGGTAATGTATTAGTATTTTAACTTAATTTAGAATTATGTTATCTTTTATTTTAAAAACATTCATTACTATTTAAAATCACAATTTTATTTTAAAATAATTCAAAAACGCGACGGAATCGCGACGGAATATAATATTTGCGACGGAATATTTGTTGGCAATGAAGCGACAGAATTACGACGGAAAACATTTCCGTTGCGAAATGAGCGACGGAATTCGCGACCAAGAAGATAATATGGCGACGGAATATTCGGTTCAGAAATAACGACGTATTTGCGATGGAAACAGTTCCGTTGTGAAATGGGCGACGGAATCGCGACGGAAGTATTCCGTCGCCAAATGGCGACGGAAATATTCCGTCGCTAAGTCCGTCACCAAAAGTTGCGACAGAATTATTCCGTCGTCTTTCAAAATACGACAAGGCGATAGATAACAGAATAAATTCCGTCGCGAAACGCGATTCGCGACGGAATATTGCCCATTAGAGACAGAAATGCGTCGCTAAGATAACAAAAAATCCATCGCTAGTTCCCTACCACGACGATCTGGTGACAAAATTTGTAAGGGAATAGAAACAGACTTTTCCGCCGCTAAATATAGCATCAAAAATTTCCGTCGCTACATGTAGCGACAGAAAATGTCGTCACTCTTTTGTTTCTAATATTTGCATTGGATGCACAACTTATCCGACCCTTTTTTCATCTTTTTTTTTTTTATATATAATTATTTTTAATTTCCTTTTCTCTTTATAATGTTGATAATTTTTATTATATATTTATTTAATCACACAACTCATACAATATGTTGGAATGGAATAAGCCCTTTGAGTTATACAAATACACAATATATAATTTCTCGCGATCTAGATGATACACTTCCAAGTCATATCCTACTCATCCATAGGCATAGATGACTACATCCATCTACAAAGGTAAAAGCATGACTAACATGCAGCATTTGAAGAAATGTCAAAGTGCCAAACTATGCATGCTGCACAACATGGATTACTTTTTAAACACTGTTAGACAGTTTTTCTTCATAACATACATGTTGTTCTGTACAAATTATACACAGGAATCACTTTTTTCCTTATCAACAAAGAAATTGTGAGGGGAAGACAAAGCTCCAAGCATATCCATGGTCAACTTCTTAAACCTACCTTAGTCGAGCAAGCGGGAGCCAAGCTAGAAATGCTTAAGTCTCGATCATACATGCACTGGATCTCCACCCTGTTATCTGTTAGCGACTTATCTGGTATTGCGGGAGTCAATTCTACCACATCTCCCATTTTAAGCTTACATGTGGGATCATATCTCGAGAAAAAAAAAAGAGGATAAATCATTAGCAAATTTTAGTATTAAATGAGATGAGAAGAAGCATACCTCCAGAACATACACTTCCAATTCCTCCAGCCTTCAAATCTTCAATCACTACATTTGCATCCTTACAAACATTATCCTATGTATAGCCATGTAAGCATTGAAAATTTAAATAATATTATTGAACCGTGATGGGTAATTGATCATTAAGTTAATTACTTTAATTAGGCTAATTGGGTTAATTAAATGGCTCATTGGATAATTAATTAGTTTAATTACTTAATTAAATGTAATTGGATGTTGGATTGTTCGCCTGAAATGATGAAATATTTAATCGAGTTGGACCAGACTGCTTGGATGAATTGGGTTGCCTAATTAGCGGGCTTGACTTGGTCTTGGCCCACTAAAATTATATGTGGATTATATAATTTTGAGGAATTTGAATATTTGATATTATTTGGAAATTTAATGAAATCATGAACCTTGACACAATGCTATCCCTATGCATTCCTTAATTTAATTATAGAAATTAAATTAAATAAGGAATTAAGAGTTGGTTGGAGATTTTCTCTCACCCTCACCACTATAAATAGTGGTTTCATTTTCAAAGAATGAGCTCTGGAAATCTGCATATCGAAGCTCTGCCGAAATCCCTCCAGGATATCGTCTGGAACACGCCCGCAGTTGTACTGCATATACCGCGCTGAGGAACACGCCACTTGAACACCGAAAGCCCTTCTTTGAAGATCAAGCTGCATATTAGCCCTTCATTGAGGAACAAGCTACTAACTCCGGAGGTCCTTCAGCAAGGAACTACTCCAGTTCGTCACACTCCCAAACTCGGCATACTTCCAGTTCAACATACTTTGAACTCGGCATACTTCTAGTTCGTCATACTCCTGAACTCGGCATACTTCCAGTTCAACATACTTTGAACTCAGCATACTTCAAGTTCAGCATACTCTGAACTCGGCATACTTCCAACAGGGAACTACTATAAGTTCAGCATACTCTGGACTCAGCACACTTCCAATTTGGCATATTCCAAATTTGGCACACATCTAATAGACATACTTCTAGTAGAGAATCAGAGGACTTCTCCTATACAGAGATTGTACCCCTTCCCGTTTGATATATACTTGATACTTCATTGTAACCGATACTTTGAATTTTGAATATATACAATTCAAGTTTTTCGCGTTTACATATTTTGGCACGCCCAGTGGGACATCTCTGCCTCTCATCTCTCTACTACTTCCATACCTCTACCTGCGCATCAAATGGCATCGAACAACCCCATGTTCAGGAGGACCTATGCCCAAGCTACCAAGTCCAAGTTTACGCCTGTAGCTAGCTCTGGCGCTACGCAGAAAATGCAAGGTCTGCTGACAAAGAATCGCGCAAAGGATTTGGGGGTCCAAGTGCCTGAGCCTCAGTCCATGGCACGACGTGTGGTTCTAAGGCTCGACAAGGCCCCTGCCGCCTCAAAGGCAATTGCTTTTGCTGGAAGTCCACCTTCACCCAAGGGAGCTACCGATGGTGATAGTCTAACTTCTATGTAAGGGAACGCTAGTAGCGGGAGCACTTCCCCCGTAACTCCGCCACACCCATTATTGAAGGCTGCACCTGATTGGTCGCATGTCTACAATGTCATGCCGGCTATGGCGACAAACACAGAGTCTGTGGAGGAGCAATTAGCTAGAATTGCTAAGTCTCTAGAAGGAATGGTTGTCGCCCTCCAAAATCAAGAGAAACGGCTTAACACCCTCGATAATAGGGTAGGAAGCATCATGGAGGAGTAAGGAAGTCGCGCTCCAGGAAAGCAACCCGAAGGGCAAGAAGAGGTTGGTCAGCAATCACCACCACCTCCTGTTAGCCATGCGGTAGGAGAAGTTGCTTCCCACTTACCTGCAGTTGAGAAATCTATACCAGTCACTGAAGGTATGATACCGGTGGATCAGTTGAAGGACTACATAATGGGGGCTATCAAAGGCAAGTTGGATGACGGTCAGCCCTCATATTCATATGCTAAACCCTACACACAAAGAATTGAGGAGTTGAAAATGCCATACGACTATCAACCCCTTAAGTTCCAGCAATTCGATGGTAAAGGAAATCCTCGACAGCACATTGCCCACTTTGTGGAGACATGCAATGATGCCGGGACTTATGGCGATCTGTTGGTAAAGCAGTTTGTCTGTTCATTAAATGGAACTGCGTTTGATTGGTACGCTGACCTCGCGCCCGGCTGCTTTGATAGCTGGCATGATATGGAACGTGAGTTCTTCACCCGTTTCTATAGCACGAGGAAAACGGTCAACTTCTTGGAACTCACCACTACTCACCAATGGAAGGGTGAACGCACCGGTACCTACATCGAAAGGTGGAGGGAACTATGCTTGAATTGCAAAGAAAGAATATCCCAAAGTTCTGCAATTGAGATGTGCATCCAAGGCATGCACTTTGAACTCTCCTATATCATACAAGGGGTTAACCCAAAGTCCTTCGAAGAGTTATCCAGTCGTGCTCACGACATGGAGTTGAGCGTCGAAGCTAGCGGAGGGCTCAACATATTGAACTTGCCTAGCCCCTCCAATGCACCTGGAAAACAAGAAGTTAAAAAGTGGAACAAACCTTTTCCAAAGCAAGAAAAGAAAGAAGTGATGAATGTGAAGGCTACTCCTATGACAGTCTTCACTAAGGCAATTGAAAGGTCTAGGCCAAGACCATTTTCTGGCCCGTCAAGGGGTGGTAGAAGGCCGACAATTAAAGAAAGGCAGGAGAAAACTTATCCTTTCATGGATTCCGATATATCTCCCATGTTTGATGAGCTACTCAAACTTAGACTCATTGAGTTGCCAGAAATGAAACGTCCTGAGGAAGCTTCAAGGGTGGATGATCCACACTATTGCAAGTACCATCGTCTTCTTGTTCATCCGATCGAGAAGTGTTTTATCTTCAAAGATAAAGTAATGGCACTGGCCAGGGATGGAAAAATCGAGCTTGCCGATACCAAAGCGAGCTCAAATCAAATCTCGATTACACCCGGACGGTTCGCTCTACTGTGTACTGAAAAGGAAGATGGGAAACAACGGAAGCGTCCACTCCCCTTCATTGTTAAGCACGCTGTCGGTCAAAGTTTAGAACCGCAGCGGAATGATAACACGTCCGAAGGAAAATGGGTGATTGTTACTCATAGAAAGAAGAAAGTTGAGCCTGTGAAGCATCAAAAGCACATAGTGAATAGTTGGATTGAGAAAACCTCAAAAAATACCCATGCCCGCAAATCAAAGACGAAGGGGCATGTCAAACAACCACGCGCACCAGTTCCTTTGGCTCAATATATGCCAAAGGGATTTGATTTTCAAGGGGCGGGCACTGCTAGCTCCTGCCTAAATACAAATGATAAGCCAGAAGATAGAGGGGAATGTTCATCTGCCAAACATATCGAGGATGAGGAAGTGCTAATGCATAAGGCTACTTCCTACTCCACAGAAATTACCTTCAAGGATGAAGACTTGTTACTTGGAGGCACGCCAAACAATCGCCCACTGTTTGTTGAAGGCTACACCCGTGGGCAAAAACTCAAAAGAATTATGGTTGATAAAGGCTCAATTGTCAACATCCTACCCCTTCGAGCTGTGAAGGACCTTGGTATATCTACAGATGAGCTTGCCCAAAGTCTTCTAATGATACAAGGCTTCAACCAGGGAGGGCAAAGAGCAATCGGCATCATCAGACTTGACTTAAAAATTGGAAGCCTGAGTTCAGGTGTCCTCTGCCATGTCATAGATGCAAGGACATCTTATAACTTGTTACTTGGAAGGCCGTGGATACATGAAAATGGGGTGGTACCCTCGTCCTGGCATCAATGCCTCATGTTTGAAAGGAACGGCGTAGTTGAAAAGGTTGTCAACGATGAAAGCCCTTTCACAGAGGCTGAGTCTTACTTCGTGGATGCAAAGTTCTACATTAAAAAGCAAGTTATTGTTGAAGATATTGAGGAAAGCCATGACGATCCACCTTCCCAATCAAAGTCGAAGGGAAAACAAGTTGTAGAGGGAGATCAACACAACACGAAACTCATCTTCCCGCTTGCAAGGATTGATACACTCAAAGCAAATGTAGCAAAATTATCTGAAGAGAAAGGTGGTGATAAAGTGGGCCAAATATTCCCCACCAAGCGTACCGAGGGTTTCGACCCTAACGCTTATAAGCTTCTAGCCAAGGCTGGCTATAACCCCAACGAGACACAGAAGTTGGGAAAGCTTATCCCAGAAGCCAGCGGTAAAGGCAAGGCAAGTCACCAAGAGCCTCAAACGCGCAAAGGGTTGGGCTATGTCCCCCCTAAACCAGTGCGAATTCTTATAAACAGGGCTGCAAGTAATTGTATCTCCACGGAGGGAAGCGAGTATGACCCAAAACTCACTCCTACCAATGATAATGGGCAAGACAAAAAGAAGTCAGTCTTCGACCGAATCGGTAAGGCGGACTCTCGACGCTCAGTGTTTGATAGATTGGGGTCAAGTCCTAAAGCCCTAAAGAGAAAGTCGATGCATGATCGACTTGGAGCTGTCCAAGTTGTTAAAAATAGTGCCAATGTTCCTGCTGAAGTGGAACCTCCCAAAAGGCTTAGAAGCATGATTCCTTCTCGGATGAGACGAGAAACATATATTCATGTTTCATGTGGTGAAGTGTTGAAAGTCCAACCGAAGACCATTGTACACACTCGTGTACATAAAGAGGAAAATGAGGAAAGCGTAGGCTCAAGTGATGACGTACCACCAACCACTCAGGGAGAGGTGGCATCGTCGTTCCATATCACTTTGTGTGATGAGACCCCGATTGAGGGGGAAGATGCGGAGGATGCACCCCATGAGTTAGAAGAAGGGGTACGAGCCACGGTGGATGAATTAAAAGAAGTTGATCTGGGAACTCCTGAAAATCCTTGTCCTATCTTCATTAGCGCACTCCTATCTGATGAAGATGAAGAAATCTATGTTACATTGCTGAAAGAATATATTGATGTTTTTGCATAGACATACAAGGAGATGCCAGGGTTAGACCCAAAGGTAGCTGTGCACCGCTTAGCGGTGAAGAAGGGGTGTCACCCGGTTAAGCAAGCTCAACGACGCTTCCGCCCCGAGCTCATTCCCTCGATTGAAACAGAAGTTAATAAGCTTATTGAGGCTGGCTTCATTCGTGAAGTTAAATATCCAACCTGGATATCCAGTATTGTGCCTGTGCGCAAGAAGAACGGCCAGATCCGCGTTTGCGTAGATTTTCGAGACCTCAATGTGGCATGCCTGAAAGATGACTTCCCGCTTCTTATCACGGAGTTAATGATAGATGCCGTAACTGGACATGAGATCCTATCATTCATGGATGGCTCCTCCGGTTACAATCAAATCCGCATGGCGCCGAAGGATGAAGACTTAACTGCATTCCGAACGCCGAAAGGCATCTACTGTTACAAAGTAATGCCCTTTGGTTTGAAAAATGCAGGTGCTACATACCAAAGGGCTATGCAGACAATATTTGATGATATGCTTCATAAAATGGTCGAATGCTATGTAGACGACCTGGTTGTGAAGTCGAAATTGCGCACAAATCACTTGGTGCATTTAAGGAAATTCTTCGACCGCCTGAGAAAGTTTCAACTCAAAATGAATCCCTTGACATGTGCTTTTGGGGTTGCTGCTGGAAAGTTCCTCGGGTTTATTGTTCGACACAGGGGCATCGAGATTGAACAAGCCAAATTGACACCATAATGAAGATGCCTGAGCCGAGAAACCTTCATGAGCTTAAAAGCTTACAAGGGAAGTTGGCTTACATCCAAAGGTTCATATCAAATCCAGCGGGAAGATGTCAACCTTTTAGTCGGTTGATGAAAAAAGGGCATCCCATTCATATGGGATGAGGCATGCAAGAACGCATTTGAGAGTATCAAGTCATACTTGATGAAGCCGCCTGTGCTAACCGCTCCTGTTCATGGACGCCCACTAATCCTCTATATCTCCGCCCAAGACAATTCTGTGGGCGCCTTGCTTGCTCAGGAAAACGACAAGGGGAAAGAGAATGCTCTCTACTATCTCAGTAGAATGATGACCCCGAACGAGTTAAATTACTCCCCGATTGAAAAGCTATGTTTGGCACTTGTGTTCGCCATAAAAAAACTTAAGCACTACTTCGAGGCTCATACCATCCGGCTTGTTTCCAAAGCGAACCCGGTGAAATATGTTATGGCGAAGGTCGTTCTCTCCGACCGACTCGCAAGGTGGTAATTATTGTTTCAACAGTTTGAAATTATATATGTGCCACAAAAGTTTGTCAAGGGGCAAGCCTTGGCCGATTTCCTGGCAGACCACCCAATACCTGCTGAATGGGAGTTGTCTGACGATTTGCCTGATGAAGATGTGCTTGTCATTGAAGTCCTACCCCCATGGAAGATGTACTTTGATGGAGCTTCGCATAGAGAAGGGGCAGGAGTTGGAGTTGTCTTCGTCACTCCAGAAGGCGAGGTGTTGCCATATTCATTCACCTTGACCGAGCAATGTTCAAACAACGTTGCTGAGTATCAAGCATTGATACTTGGGCTCGAAATAGCGGCTGACATGAAGCAACTGAGAATTAACATTTATGGAGATTCAAAGTTGATCAAAAACCAAGTGTTGGGTCTATATGAAGTGAAAAAGGCAGAGTTAGTCCCATATAACAACTATGCAAAGATACTAATGCAATGGTTAGGGGATGTCACAATTGAACATATACCAAGGAAAGAAAACAAGCAGGCTGACGCCTTAGCCGCATTGGCTTCAACTATTACTCATCCTACAGCCTGAGTGCGAGTATGTCAAAAGTGGGTAGTTCCACCAATCTTCAATGAAGACGGCTCAGTTGATGAAACTGTTGAACTCCCTACTGCTTCAGTGTATGATATTGGCAAAGACGACTGGAGGCAATCGCTAATTGACTACCTCACTGATGGAAAGTTACCCGAAGATCCACGTAGGAGGGTGGATATAAAGCGTCGAGCTGCTCGCTTCATCTACTATAAAGAGACGATGTATCGTCGTTCATTCGAGGGAGTATTTCCCCGATGCCTAGGGGAAGAGGAAGCTTTACAAGCTATGCAAGAAGCTCATTCTGGGGTTTGCGGTGCACATCAATCCGGTCCCAAGTTGCACTTCCATATTAAGCGAATGGGTTATTATTGGCCTACAATGGTAAAGGATTTCATAGATTATGCTCGAAGGTGTCAGGCTTGTCAATATCATGCAAACTTTATTCATCAGCCACCAGAACCTCTACACCCAACAGTTGTGTCTTGGCCATTTGATGCTTGGGGACTTGATGTGGTTGGCCCAATTACGCCTAAGTCATCTGCAGGGCATGTATACATACTAGCTGCCACCGACTACTTTTCAAAGTGGGCTGAAGCCGTGGCATTGAAGGAGGTGAAGAAAAAAAATGTTGCAGACTTTCTCCGTGTCCACATCGTCTATCGATTTGGTATCCCGCGATATATCTTAACAGATAATGGGAAGCCCTTTGACAACAAGTTGATGGACAAGATCTGCAAGCTTTTTGACTTTAAGCAGCGAAACTCGTCAGCTTACTATGCAGCTGCGAATGGGTTTGCTGAAGCTTTTAACAAGACCCTATGCAATTTGTTGAAGAAAGTGGTCTCAAAATCGAAAAGGGACTGACATGACAGAATGGAAGAAGCTTTGTGGGCAAATAGAACCACATATCGCACACCTACTCAAAGCACTCCATACTCGTTGGTGTATGGTGTAGAAGCGGTCCTGCCTCTATAACGTCAAATACCTTCCTTAAGGTTGGTTATACAGGAGGGTCTTACTGATGAAGAAAATGTTAAGCTACGCTTGGCTGAGCTAGAAGCCTTGGATGAAAAATATCTACAGGCGCAACAAAGCTTGGAGTGCTATCAAGCTCGCATGTCTAGAGCTTTTAACAAAAGGGTATGGACAAGTTCCTTTCAAATGGGGGACAAAGTCCTAGCTGTTCGTAGGCCCATCATTGTCACGAGAAAAACCGGCCACAAGTTCACTTCAAGGTGGGATGGTCCCTACGTGATTTTAGAAGTTTACACCGGCGGGGCTTATAAGCTAATTAGTGAAGATGGTTTGAAGATCGGTCCGATTAATGGAAGGTTCCTAAAGCTTTACCACCCTTAAACTTGGGGTGTCGGCACAAGTCATGAAGATGTGATGAATGACTCATCCACCAAAAATGCAGCATGTGGTTAAACTGCTAATGCATATCGCTTTGTCTATGGGTGGGCCCAAATCATAGACGCTCCTGGCCCGCATGAGTCTAAACTGTGAACGGCCTTACTTTGTAAAAAAAAGATCATTTGAACTACGTTTGACTTGATCTCCTTCATAGGAGTACGTAGGCAACTTGGAAATCAAATTATCTAAGTTCAGTCATAGCAAAAAAAATCCAACTCATGTTGCAAGAATGTTGTATCAAGACAATCATCCAATAAATTAAAGTAAAGATGTTACTACTAAAAGACCAGCATACAAATGAGAAGCATTCAATTATTAAAAGTTAGAAACGAAACGACAAAAGTTCTTGCAATCAAAAAGAGAAACTAAAGGACAAAGAGCATCAATCAATAAAAAATCCTAAAGCTAAGCATATCGTCTTTGCAGGCTTCTAAGCCTCTCTTTGCCTCCTTTAGTCTCACTTCATCCTCTAGCGTCAGTACAGTTAATTCTTGAATACGAGTGACCTCTGCCTCAGCCGTCGAAACGGCAGTTTTAGCGTTATCCAGGTTGTCTGTGATTTCGGCAACCATAGTGTCGCATTCCTCCACCTTGGCGCGAGCTAACTTCAACTCTTTCTCCAATTCCTCTTCCCGATCTTTCGCAGTCTTAAGCATCTTGTGTTGGCCCAGTAGATCCTTCTTGAATCCCTTAAATTTGTCTTGTGCGTTCTTGAGCTCATCCTTCGCCGAAGATAAAGACTGGGACTCGCTCGATGTTTTGTCAGAAATCGTGGACCTTAGGTTGTCAAAGACTTGAGCTTTTGTGAAAATCTCTTCAACTCGTGTTTCCAAAGGATAGATGTCAATGTCTAACTTCCGCAGGTTTGTAAAAGCATTCATAAAGTTCTCTTGCAAAGAAGAAACACGCTCTACCGAGGTTTCGTCCAACTTTTTGCGGAGCTTGTTCAAGACATTTATGACGACCACCTTAAATTCTTCCAGCACGAGGTCTTTTCCATTAAAGACAGAGACCTCGGGTCTATCTTGCCGACCTACGTGTGGCTCGTCAAGGGAGTTCCATTAAAGACTGAAGCATTATTCGAGTGTCCGCTTTCTTCAGTATTGCTTGCAGCCACCCTTGTATTCGATGACTCAGCTCCTCCCCTAGCAGGTATTGCCACATTTTCCTGTCAAGAAGTAAAAGAGGGTAAATTAAGCGCTACCAGCAATAATTGGGATAAGTGAGAACAGTGGTTTACCTCCACTGGGGAAGGCGAACGTCGACCTCGTCGTCGTTTCCAGTGATGGTCGCGGCTATCTTCATCATCCGAGTCCTGTTGTATCACATCAACTTCCTTTTGTGGAATAATGTTCTCCTTTCTCTTCTTGGGTGGCGGTTCACTTTCTTGGACTGGACGTTTGCCTTTCTTGGAGGTACTGGCTTCATGCTGCATATCGGCTGGATGCTCAGGAACTAAATCGTTAATGCTGCGCTCAAGGTAGTCCCCATGGACTTGGGCCCACCAATCCTTGTAACTCCGCGAGAAGTACTTCTTCATAGTGACAGTGACTCGAGTCGCGGGAAATGTCACTCGCGACCCTGAGCCCCTAAGTGTAAAATGGCGCCAACGTTGGAAACCCTCCGAAAGCGTGAATTCACGTTCTTCATTGCCCAATATGCCAGAACCGCAATCCTAATAGTACCCAAATTGCCGGCTAAATCGATGAGGAGTGTAAGGCTCGACGACACATGCATCTGCCCATTGTAGTACGAGGTAGTTAGAACGGAGACACATGAAGTACTCGTCGTCGGTGTCGTGGGCATTCCCATCATCAAGGAAGTGAAGATCCTTAGTTAGGCGGCGTGTCGTGCAAAGCCAGTTGGCACTGTCAGCTTTGAAAATCTTGCGACGAGCTTCTGCCGGTCCGTAATATCTCGCACCACCCTCCCCCGAGTAGGCGATCATCAACGGAGAAGCTGACGTGTGGTCTTTTGCAAAATGAGTGTTGAAATAAAACGACAACCATCCATACACATAGTGGATAGGGAAGCGACTATCAGCTAGCCCCAGGGTATTAGATTGGGATATCACGTTCAGTCCAGTGTAGATGCTCGCAAGCACGGGGATCCCAAGGTTCATTGTTCTGCCTGTCGCCATTAAGCAAGCCATTTTGAATGTCTGAAAGCAAATGACTCGCGTCATTTTAATGGGGAGCACGAATACGCACAGCCAGCAACTCAAGTACGCCGCTAAGTGAGTCTCCTTTTCATGTTCAGCGGGAATTCCAAGCTCGGCAAAGGGTTCCCTGGTCGTTTTAGTCCATCCCTTGAATGCTGGGATCTTGCCATTTGGATTCTGGGTGTTCCTTGGGCGAGTTTTCCTCTTGTCCTCTTTCCTTGGCATTGGTCTGCCATAAACTGACGGTCTTCTACTCCAAAATTCTATCCAGTCAACAACGTGAACTGAACGGTCATTATTGTTTGGTCCGTGACGACTCCCTCGTTGCCTGTTCCGATCACTAAGGTGGCAATATGCTTGGAACAAGTACTTACAGCTTTGAGGAGTGGAGTTAGGGTTGGCGTCTTCCCCCATTAACTTTGAGGTGGTCGGGACATACTCATCATAGATGTCGCCAGATATCGGTAAACCGCAGAGCACATGCACATCCCAAAGTGAGATTGAAAGCTCACCGAGTGACGTAAGCAATGTATTGGTCATGGGGCACCACGCTTCGCAGAACGCTTGGACGATATGCGTCGAGCGGTCATAGGTGAACAGCGAGGCGTATATGCCGTCGTAGATCGTCATAGCCTCCAGGAGTTCACGGTGCATACTGAGTATAGTCTTAGTCCATTCCCAATATCCCGTTGTGAAGCTGAACTCGCCTCTGAAGCTGGGATGCTGGTTCCATGAAGCCTCACCCCTAAGGATCCGTCTCCCTATGGTCAGGAGTGGGTCTGAGTTTCCGTATGACCTAGCCCGGTTTGTAGAACCCACGTTTTGGATGGCTGGTGTTCGGCGTTACGAGTCCATTCCTCCACTCGATAAGGCAGTGTCGGGGCAAGGAGGGTTCTTGGCGTTATCGGTGGGTAAACGATGAACGACATGTTTTTTTTTTCTAGTCTCATCGCTTGATACTTTGAGCCTCCTCTTTTGATCGGCTCCCACGATTTTCCAAAACACTATCATTGTTCAAAAATGGTTGGCGGTGTATGAATCTGCATTAAGAACCAAAAGGCCAAATCCATAAGTGTGAACAATTTATACAGCAAGGGAAAAATCCCCACGTGCACATATATCATATATATTATATGCGTGTGTACACACCGAACATGTATGAAGCAATTAGACGCGAGTTGTATATATTATTATATACACTCACGTACTAGTGGCCACATACATACAGTGTGCATGCATGCGTTGCTACCTAATAAAGTGGTGGTGTGGAAAGTAAAAAATGAAAGCAACATGCAAAACTAATACATGCCAAATGTATGTGATTCACACAAGAAAATAAATTGGTGAATTACATGAATTATATATATGTGCCTACACGAGAAGAGTGAAAAACGGTGGCATGCAAAGTGATGAGAGTGGAGGCATTAAATATATATATATACACATGGACAAAACTCCAAGGCAAATGGGCTACACAGTATACATTATATATATATATATATATATATATATATATATATATATATATATATATATATGCAAAGTGAAGGGACGAAGCAGCACAGTGAAAAGCAAAAGGTGTCAGAAGAATGTATTATGCTTCGTGTATATGTGTTCACGCCGGAATAAGAAAAAGAAAACAGAGTAGCCATGCGATATGTTTTCTCTAGAAAAAAAGTAAAAGAAACAATTGATAATGGATGAAGCTGGCAGGGGAAAAGACAATCCCACTACCCAAAGCATGCATTCAAATCAACTCAAGGCTATTTGGTTTTGCTTTCCCCTCTGGGCTCTTTCGTTGTCATACCCACACAACATATATAAAGTATATGTACACTCACATACCAATGGCCCAGACGCTACATACATACTAAAACTACAAGCATACATATATGGCTACATATGAATGCTGGTTTTGCCAAAACAAAAAAAAAAAAAAAAAAAAAAAAAAGGGTTAAAACAGAAACGATAAAACATATGAATAGTTTTGTGCCAACTTGGTATATATATATATATATATATATATATATATATATATATATATATATGTGTGTGTGCGCGCTGACGATGGGGCGAGAAGACAAAGCAAGCTATGCCATTCGGTGTATATATATGTGCACCCATATTGCAAGTCAAAGCAATTACACTGCAATGGGTAATACATATAACATATGTGTACGTGTTATGTATGTACTCAGTGAGTTTTTTTTTTTTTACAAAACAAAGACAACAGGCTAGCACATGCATTTAAATATTTGGTATATATATATATATATATATATATATATAT